TTTTGTCATTGTCACTGGGACAGAAAGTGATAAAAACTAACATTTTGGATATTCTAACAAACAGGTACAGAGAAATCTTCCAAGGAGGGCACCTGTTCCAGTGTCAACCTAAAACGCATTTCCTTTTGCTTTGAATCAATTTTCTCATGCTTCCTGTTATGTGTTTAGCACAGGAGGCAAGGGGCAATCTCCTCCATTGGGAACTGAGCTCTCACCAGATGCCCATGCAACAATTTTACAAGCCCGGTGAAGTTGCCACAGGGAGTAATAAAAGCCGTTTCTTGCCGCAGGAACCAGGAAAAAGAAAAGAATAATAATGCTGCAACAGGAGTTCGATTTTTATTGATAGAGATATGCCCCACAGAACTACATTTTCCAAGAGCTCTTTTCCTACACAGCATGTGGGCAGCCTCATGGGAATCAGGGCAACATTACTGTTTTGAAATCAATGTATGTACACGGGGTAGGACAGATAGTGACGAGGGATAAGGCAGAGATCTATAGCCAGCAGGCAGGGCTGACAACGCGAATTGAACTTTTAATTACAGAAATGTACTATGTACTGGTCTGTCAGGCAAAACACAAGTTAGGAGCTCACTAGATTTCTGGCAGATCAATGGGTCTTTTTCTGCTCTTGCAGCATTTTAAAAGGGATAAAACATGAGAAAATGGGGCTTCCTTGCAGCTTTGCTCGTGTCTCCTGGTGGTCCCAGTATTTTTAGGAAATTTCCTTTTACCCCCTTATTAAAACGGTCATTTTTGGGCTGAAATAATTATTCCAAGGATAATAATTGCATAGATTATAGCATAGAAACGACAAGATTATATATCTGGAAAGAAAGGAACAGAAGTTGCTCTGTATGTTGGCGGTACCAGTATGAGCTTGCATTTGTTTTCCTAGCAGCTCCAAGAGGTAGATATCAGCCAACTGGCAGTAAATCCCTCATTCCAGACAACACAATGCGGACATCCCGTTCATGCTTGTCTGCTGCTGGTTTCAGACCTGCAAAGTCACCAGCTATAACAACTCTTTGTTTACGGTACACGGTGAATGGCCAGAGTTCAACACCCACACAAAATACGTACCCATCTACATAATACGGGGAGCCTTACAATAATGCTATATGCTTGTACCTTGTAACAGGAGAATGATGATCAAGACTACAAGTAAACCTGCCACAGGATACCAATTTCCTTTTGTCAGGATGCCATCTGTGTTTAATTTTTAATGACTTCCTAAAGCAGGGGTAGGCAATCTCGGTTCTTTAGCTGTGCTTTAACTACAAACCCCAACATGCCTTTGCAAGTCATGCAGTAACGGTCAGTCTTTTAATGCCTCATGGGACAGCTGGAGGGCCGGAGTTGCCCACCCCTGCCCTAAACGGTCAGTCCACCAACACCCGATATACCAGTATTAGGCAGAAACTAGATTGTTAAAAGCAAACATTTAAGTTTGTCCATTCATAGAAAATAGCAAATCAGCTTGATAACCTGCCCCCTATGCTTCAGATACTAATCCACCTTGCATGTGCTTATAGCTTCTTTCCATGTCAAATAGTTAAAGTCAAACTTCAGGCTATTTATTTTCTAAGTGTCCCCCCTGTAGGGTTTAAAAAACACTGTAGTATCTCTTCTTCACTTCAAGATGTCCTCAGTTTTCCGGGTTGAATGACACCCAGACTGTCAGCGCAGGATGTTATGGCCCCGCCCCTGAGCAAAGCTTCCTGCATTCACAGGTTATTGATGCATAGAGCTATGCTGATATCAGTGCCACTCTCTCATCCAGGACCATAGTCTGCCTGCACTGCATAGAGATCTAGTGATGATGTCACTGGGTCTAAAATAAGGTATGTAATAAAACATTAAATATTATAATTAGTAATGTTATTAGCACATTGATGGGGGAGGGGGAGGGATTTCAGCAAATAATCTAGATGCATTCCTAAATGTACAAAATATAACTAGAAGAATATAACTATATTAACATTTTGTAAATGAAAAAACACCAGGGACTGTTGATCCGGGGAGTATCCGGTTGCCTTATGGGATCAGGAAGATGTTTTCCCTGTTGAAGCAAACTGAACCACGTTCTCTAGGGTTAATTCTGCCTTCCTCTGGATCAGCAGCGGGTAACTGTGGGCATAGGGTGCTGTTTATGGAGGTTATTCTATTTTTTCTCTATAGGTTGAACTCAATGGACTTGAACCTCTAAGGTGAGAAGGAACAGAGCCAGAATCTATGGCAGGGAGAGAACAGTAAAGGTGACCAGGAAGAGAAACCTGAGTGATGATAGTGCGCGCCATGTACAAATAAAACAGTAGTTCACTGCTGGGGTTCATGGAGCCTCATAACTTACGTCTCATAGATGTGCCCATGCTCCACTCTCTCCTCCACGTAGGCTAGTGCTCGGACATGCATGGGGGAGTGCGGGAAGGCAGCGTGGATCCAGGGCATGCCGAATACAGACAGCCCTGTGTTAATTAGTGCCACAAGAAGGAGATCCCAGTGATACGCTGTGCCCTTCACCAACCTGCAGGAAGAAAGAACAATGCTGTCAATGAAATGTGAACCACAAAGCATCAAAATGATTCATGTGACCAACAAAGAAAGCAAACACTGGCTGGTAGCACAAACACAGTTTTTAGTTTTGGATAGAGTGGGGAAGGGTTACAACCCCTGTAAGGTAATACAAAACACAAAAATTCCCCAGCCTCAACCTGCCAGCCAGCCTGCAACCAAACAAGTAGCCCTGTCAACAGTATGCGTTAAAATCAGAGGTTTTAGTTGCACAAACTTTTGGCCAAAAATATGTAGAAGCCACACTGCCGCGCCAAGGCACCTCTGCAAAGTGTGGTCCTAACTCTATGTATCCGAGTCTCCAAGTGTGAGCATATTAATGAAGTTGATAAATTACATGCAGGTGTACCTGGAGGTAGCCAACTCCTCCTAATAAGGTGCAGGGAGTCCCAGCGTGCATTTTTGGTTGCTGGGCCTCCAGTGCGTCCCTGCACCTTATTAGGAGGAGTTGGCTACCTCCAGGTACACCTGCATGTAATTTATCAACTTCATTAATATGCTCACACTTGGAGACTCGGATACATAGAGTTAGGACCACACTTTGCAGAGGTGCCTTGGCGCGGCAGTGTGGCTTCTACATATTTTTGGCCAAAAGTTTGTGCAACTAAAACCTCTGATTTTAACGCATACTGTTGACAGGGCTACTTGTTTGGTTGCAGGCTGGCTGGCAGGTTGAGGCTGGGGAATTTTTGTGTTTTGTATTGTTGTAAGCCTTCCCAATGTGCGCCCTGCTATAAAGGCCGGTTATAGATTCATGCATGTACCATTTTTTTTCTAGTTTAACCCCTGTAAGGTGTTCATTGCCATCTTTGTCTATGTTGGCAAGACTGGGAAAGAAATGAGATCCCAAATTTTGTTACCAGAACAGTAGGTGAGGGGAAATCTTCCAATGGGAAACCTACCATCTGAGATGGGAATCTGCTCTCACTTTGATGAGATTTTCTCTCACTTTTTGTTGGGTCTTTGGGGCAGAAAGTAGAGAGAAGCCTCCTCAATGGGAGAACGAAAACAAAAAAAAGGATAGATAGAGAGATATATAGATAGCAAGGGTGTAACTTTAGCCATAGCCGACCATGCGACTGCTAGAGCCCAGAAAAACAGGGGGCCCAGCGCTGCCAGGCCAGACAGTGGTTTAAGCAGGTGACCATGGCACATTTGGCATACATATATGTATAAAAATTAGGAGTGCAACTATACCTTTTTTTGGTATCGAGTACCGATATATTTTTTTTGGTACTCGCTTATACCGAGTACCGGTGCCGTGTGTCCTGATTATCAGGAAGTCGGGCAGCGGTTCATGACCTGTCGCCCGGCTTCCTGAATGGCCTGTGAAGCCGGTGTTCTAGTGAAAGAACACCGGCTTCACTTGCCGAGGCTGCCTGGCTTCCTGACCAATCAGGAAGCCAGGCGGCGAGTTAGGACGTGCCGCCCGGCTTCCCGATTGGCTAGGAAGCCAGCTTTACTTGTTGGTAGGCAGCCTGGCTTCCTAACTAATCAGGAAGCCGGGCGGCACGTCATGACCCGCCTCCCTAATTGGTCAGGAAGCAGGTTGCCTTGGAACAAGTGAAGCTGGCTTCCTAGCCAATCAGGAAGCAAGTCATTACGTGCCACCCGATTGCTTATTGAAGCCAGGTTGCCTAGCAACAAGTGAAGCTGGTCATAACCCACCGCCCTGGCTTCCCGATTGGAAAGGAAGCCAGCTCCATGCTCCCTCTGCACTGTTCCGGTATCGGAGGCATGTATCGGAGCATTTGGGCGAGTACAAGTACGGTATCTGTGCAACCCTAATAAAAATGAATGCCTATATAGTTTGAGAACATCTGCAGGACTACAATCAAAGAAGTTAGTATCTGTATAACTGGAGGAATAGTCTTTGAGAAGGATATTAGAGAGATGCTATGGGGCCCTGAGGCCAGGGACCTACCTGTTCTCCGGGGCATTGGTAAGCGAAGCCACAATGTTCTGCTCTATAAAGAACAGCATGGACAGGAGGAACCCCAAACCCATAGCACTGGTGATCGAACCCATCGACAGTGATCCAATGGGAGCCAAGACAAACATACTCTCCGTTTCAATGTAATTAAACCTGGCAACTGCAAAACAAAAGAAGATAAATGAATCACAGGAAAAAACCAAAAGAAGCAGCTGTGCTATATCATTAGGCTCATCTCTAAATATTTATGTGATGTAAGTAGACGGGTAAAACACAGAGGTGCGGTCTTTTTAACACAAGTGGAATGATGCATGCACACGGTGAAAAGTGTGAAGGTGAGTTGTAAGCCATTGCAACCAATCAGAAATCATGTTATCACTGGTGGCTACGAGTGTGCAAACAAACAAAAGGCTTTCTGACTTATTGCAAGGGTAACGCAGAAGACCTCCATACACTGCAATGATGATAGCCAAAAAGCCCAAACAGCTCTATGCAGTTTGGAATAATTGGCACTATAATATTAGCCTATATTTGCATCAGCATTTCTGGGTGTGCATCTGGCTGTCAGGGCATAAAGGAATGATTTTCAAGGCTCTGCCCACTATCTGGAAATGAGGAATAATCCTCTTATTTTTAGTGATGGAATGAGACATGTGAATACCTTGTGTTCTGCACTGATTCGGTTAGAGGGCTTTTTGATTCCTTTAGTCCCTGCTCACCATAACCGATATGTCTAACCTGAGATTCTGATACAGTTCAGTAAGTTTTTTTGTGCTTAGCTAGGAAGTATTTTCCAGTATCAATTGCCCTGCATATAGCCCACGTTCACCTGTCTCCTGAGTGGCTACCCTTGTTGCTTAGATGTTGCATGAGTTCTTTATCCGATTAGTGTCTGTGGGCATCAAAAACAGTTCCCATGTTCTGCGGCCATATGCTTAAAGAAAGACCTGTCATCGCTTGAAATAGCATTCTGCCCTGTTAAAGTAAGCCAATTCTAAGACAAGTATAGAGGCTGCCCTTCATTCTGAAAATGCCATTGATCTAGCTGTTAATCCGACCCAGAAACTTGATCCATAACAAGTATGCAGATGAGGGAAACCAGATCATCAGACGTCCTTATCTGCACACTTGATCAGAGAAAAAAAAGTATTGCAGAAGGTCAGCACGGCAAAAATGGGAGCTTTCATTTTCCTCTCCAGACAGGTTGTCTTTAAAACATCTTCAATGTGTGCTGGTTCCTGTAGTGAGTTGAGAGAGGGGTTGGAGTGCTGAACCAGGGAACATATTTGTGATTTCAGAGGCTCAGATTTGAACGTGTTCAGAGGCGCAGAAGATAAATGCTAAAAGAAGAAGCTTGGCTCACATCTATAATCAGGATAAATGCTGAAGTTTGTTGTGTGACTTTAATCTGTAGGCTCAGCCGTAATCTGACAGGATCTATCACTTCACCATCACAAAACAAAGAGTGATTTGTTGGCCATCGATAGCGGCGGTGCAATATTAATAACTTGTTCCTATTGAATTGCTGACGTCAGAACAGAATGGAGCGAATTCCTGGCTCTCCTACAAGGCTCTTCCTGGGGTGGAAAGGTGGTTCCTATACTTTGCCAAAATTATTTGACAGAGTTTCTGTTCCTCCATTGTGAGAGGAGGTGGCCAAGCTTCTACCAAATGTGGAAAGAAGAGACGCCATACGGAACTCTCCATTCCAAACATCTGCAGATATTGCGACAATTCCGCTTCCTGTTATTCGCCCAGAACAATGACGCAAGTAACGGGGTGTCTTTGAGGGATCATTTGCACCTGAGGGGCTTTCGACACAACTGGGAATGCGTGCCATTTCTCGGCCGTGCGCCCGCAGTTTATTTCAGGTGACATCGGCTTTTACGAGGCTGGGAAAGTCGCGGTCGGCACGCAAGGTGGAAAAACTTTAATGATAAATCGGGGTTTCATCAATCAAGACACTCAAGGTTTTCCACGACCATGGTCTATCTCCAGTAAAAATTGCAGAGTGTAAAACATACAGACTCTCGGGTATAAAAATGGCAGGACACAAGTCCTGGACTTCCACAGAGGAAGGGGCTGCAAACTTGTCCACATAAAGTGCTGCATGATGCTTAAGTCATATTAGGCTATGTGAGCATTGTTGCCTCTTAAAGGAGAACTATGAGGTGAGTGCTTTTCACTCACCTCATAGTGCTAGCCGACCCGTGACAATGAGACTGTCACAGGTCAGCTCAGTAGATCGGGAGGTGAGCGAACACATACCGGCGTTCGCTCACTTCTCGATCCTGTCACGGCTCTCTGCCGTGACAGGGGAGGGGCTGCATTCTCCCCTCCCCGATCCTCCAGCGCTGACTGGCGGAACGGACGGGGGAGGGGGCGGGTACAGCTGGCTCTGCCTCTAGATAGGCAGAGCCAGCGGTGACTCACGCAGCTGGGCGGATCCAGACATAATTGTCGGGATCCGCTTCAGATGCGGCGTCTCAGTATACCGGGAGCTGTAGCTCGCTGTATACTGCGGCGTCTCAGTATACTGGAGCTTAGGGTGAAGGGAGGACGCTAGTTTGTGTCCTCCCTTTACCCTAAGGAGAACTATGGGGAAAACCCCTAAACCCCATAGTTCTCCTTTAATAGCACACTACACAGGACACTACATGGAGCCATGGGAGGTGCTCAACTAAGAGGAAACATTATCCTAAAGGGTTAGTTCACCTATCAGGGAAGGAGGGCGCTTGAACGAGAATAGCTAGGGGGCACTTATTGGTCCATCCTAAAAAGAAGATAGGACAAAGCTTTGGAAACTGCAAGGATTTTTTGGGGGTAGCCTTGACTCCTTGCCTAAAAGTATAGAAACAGCATTAATGTTTATTTGTAAAATCTCATTAGTTTAGGGTTTATAGAAAAATACCCTCTACTGTCCTAAAGGTGAACTAACCCTTTAACAGAAATTTTATTCACTCTTGAGAGAGAGATGACCAAGTGGGATAGAGCCACCTTGTACAAATACATTAATGGTCCACATATTTAAAGCGTTGGCTGCACATCATTGCTCTAGACCAGCCTCCTGATAGTGACAGTGGACAATATCTGGCCAATGAGTATAGCCATGGCTACTTGTAGTCTCCATCAGGGGCACAAGTGACAATAACAAAGCACAACTGGCAGATAGTTGTCACCCCCATAACAGAAGTGCCTGAACAAGGACCACCAGGTATTTTAATGAATGAGGGTTCTTTACAATAAGAACAAAAATAAATTGCATTAAAATAGGGTTGGATGTGTTTCCAAATTTAGAATGTAACATAGTATTATATGTTGATCCAGTGAGTTATCGGACTGCCTTGGAGGCCCCAAAAGTTATCCGATTGCCTTTGGGGATCTAGAAGGGTTTATTTTTTTCCTGTTAGAGCGAATTAGCAAAATACACCATCTTGAAACCTCTAAACCCTGAACCCATAGTAAGTTTGAAAAAGCCATATAAAGTGTGGCCCAACAGGATCTAACAATCATAAAATAAGCAACGCAGCCATAAAGAGTGGTCAGCAATGAGGGACCTACATGTTTTTTCACTATAAGGAGGCCAGCATCTCCTAACAATACTAGTTTCACTGGCTTTCTAGCTAACGATTATTTTCAAAATCGATTAGTTAGCCGATTATTAAGTTCGATTAATCGGATAAAAAATAAAATACATTTAAAAAAAAAAGTTCCAGTGATGGACTTCTAGTTTGTGTTGAGATTGCAGTCCATCACAGGAGCAAGCTTGGAGCGGTGCAATATAGTGAAATGGAAAGTGTAAAATTATACAGCAATCAATGCAGAATGGCACCGGCTATAGAGGAATACAACAAATCTTAGCAATAGTACATTTTAGCTGGCGGTATTCTGCATTGCGCTGTACTATTGCTGGGTTTTGTAGTCCTCTTTAGCTGGTGGTATTCGGCATTGCCCCACTGTATAATGTATTATTGCTGGGATTTGTTGTAGTCCTCTATAGCTGGTGGTATTCCGCATTGCGCTGTATAACTTCTTGATTTGTAGTCCTCTATACAGCGCAATGCAGACTACCACCAGCTATATAGGGATACAACAAATCCCAGCAATACATTATACATACAGTGTATAATGTATTGCTGGGATTTGTATTACTCTGTATAACATACAGCACAATGTACCATCAGCTATAGAGGAATACACATCCCAGCAATACATTATAGAGCACTATGTGTGGGGAAAGTGCAGGCTTACCTGACCAGTCTTCCAGCAACTTGTTTCTGAGATCAGGCCAGTCTATCGGCAGCTGTCATCCCCCCACTTACTTCTTCTCCCCGCGTCCCTGTGCCGATCGTGGATGTGGGCGGGCGGTGAGCGTGAGGAGGTGCGGCGTGTGGAGCGGGCGGGCGGGTCTGGCAGCGGTGAGCCTGCAGTGGGGAGAAGTGTGGCGCGCAGCGTGTGTGGAGCCGTGAACAGGGCCAACCAATCGGAAGCCGATTCATCGATGATTGAAAAAGTTGACAACTTTTTCAATCATCGATTATAATTGATTATGTCGTTTAGTTGTTGCAGCCCTAAAAATTATGACAGGCAGGATTACAGGACTAGCAAGAGATGAAAAGGTGCAATACCTTAATTGGACTTTAATCTCAAAGGTTGGAGTCTGGCAGTGTTGTTAAACGGTTTCTTTATGTTTTAGTCTAAATTAGACTCCAGCACCAAACGTGGAATGGCGGTAAACCCCAAACTGCAGCACACTAGCTGTTATCACCCCTTTTCTACCCACCTCCTTGTTAAACAGCAGCCCTATGCTAGACCTTTATTCATCCACAATGATACTTATGGAACGAGTTTCCAGGAAAGCCAGAGTTATATTTCACCCTTCCATTTACATCGGCCCCAGATTTTAACCAAATTAACCAGCGTCAGGGAGTCAGTCCGTCTGGACATCAAAAGGCCTTTTAATCCCCTTTAATTGTGACGCTAATGCGTTGTCCCCATGACATTGGCACGCTGAGCCAAACACTGTTATGTCAACAAATGGGAAAGGACTACAGAGAGGACTTACTGCGTATATCCTGGAAGAAATACGACCCCACCACTGAGAAGGTCAGCACAGATATGGGCAGTGCGCAATCCGACAGCAACTCACGCACTCTGGAGTGCAGGTAGGGACTGGAATTCAGAAGGATGAAGTTAATTTTCAATATATTTTCCTTTGGTCATGAAGCATGAAAAAAAACCAAAATGTATAAACTGATGGTAATGACTTCCTAAGGCCCCTTTCAAAAAATGTCACGGTAACTGTTAGATGGACATGTAGTTTTAAATGACCTACAAATATAATTTTAAGTCAACTGGGACCACAAAGTGGTTATATGCTGCTACACAGGTTCACTGCAAACTAAAACAGCATCATCATCCAATTAAAAAAAAGTGCTAAAATAACAGCTGTACAGAATCAAGAGGCAATAAAACTATATTACTAGAGGGACCTCAAAAGGGCCAAGCAGAGGTTTGCTTTTAATAAATGTCTAAAATCCCTTTGAATGTATATAACTGACCTGGAGAGGATTTTTGATTTAAACTCCACAAAAGTGAAGTTTCCCTTTCAATACACTGAAGGCAGGGCAGCTCATCACCCTTTGAAACGCACAATATTGCTGCCGCGTTTTCATCTCACCTCTTCTTGAACTGGTAGAGGGTGTGACCCAGCCAGAGAGTCCCAAACATCAGCATGAGACTGAGGACGGCAGACTCCTTTCCATGCAGGGCATCGTCGTGATCCAGGCTCTGATTGTGTTGGGTGAAGTTATTGATGGTGGAGTTGTAGAAAATATCGGATGTCAGACTCATGTTCGGCAAGGTCTCAAAGGATGCTTTGTGATCACTGAGATAGGAATCAGGGGCTCCCAGATAATACTTTTTGAAAACTGCAAGACAGGAATAAGAAAGAGAAATGTTAAGTACGGCTTCTAAAATTTGCAGGAGGAGATTATCAGAAGAGAACATTTTTTAAAACATAGGCTACTTGGTGCTTAGGAATAAAATTACATTTATGGAAGGGAAAATGTTCACTCCCCATGTGACCCATTTATCCACAGAAAAATGAGAGGTGGCTGAAAACAGAGCACTGAAAAGAAAGTATTATTATGCTGTCAAATAACATTTGTGACTCTGTGTACTGCAGTGACCAATAACTGCCCGACCTATGGCTCAGCATTGTAAAATACATTCCAAGAGGATAGAAGAGGTTCATAATTATACCTGGGATGTGAAAGATATATTAACACGGGCAGTCATCTGTCATTACAACATAACCGCTCTTGTTGTGACAAGACTTCTGGTTCCTCACTGGTTGTTACTGCCATGGTGCTGTCCTACTGAATCTGGATTTGATGGCCCTTCAGTCAGCGTTGAAGGGAAAACCCAAGCATGTTGACTGGAAGGTGAGATTCCGTCGTTGCCCAAGTTCCCTGCATCAACAGGTGCCATGAAATCCTCCCCAACCTGACAGGTTGGCATTCTGTTGTGTGGATCTTTCAAAACATGGTAAAAACAGACTTCCCCAGAACCAAATTCCTGACCATGAAGCCAGGAACAAACAGGTTCTCAGTACCAGATGGATCGTTCTGCCCAAGGACTGGACTGACTGACAGCATGTCCTATGATAGCCTTAGACCAGTCAGTCAAGGTTTGACAGATCAAGGTAACAGGCTGCAAAGCAGAAAAAGGAGGACCTCCAGCCACTTGTCAATGGGGAAAGACTTGAAACAGAGGGTGCACTGGAAAGGTTGTGGTGGTCTTAATAGCCCTAAAAAAGCCTAGACTGGGCACAGCACTAGTAGAAGTGACAGACTGATTCTCTAGCCTCAAGTTATTGTGCTCCGCATCAATAAGAGTCTCATGTAGTTTGGGAGTGATGGCAAGAGACTCCTCATCAATTTACCTCCCCAGGTAATTAGGAATATCTGAATTATCGCAGGTAATGTTAATTATTAGGAATATTGGTTGCAATTATCAATCCTGTCACTGGTGAACAGTCAGCCTCTTAATGGCTATGGTGTTGTTCCCTTGCTGGCCGAACTAACAAGATGACGCTCCATCACTGCTCCATCTACAGAATTTTAGCCAGCGAAGAAGCACAGCCCATTAGGGAAGGTCTCAGCTGCACCTCTGTGTTTCGGTAGCTGACTAGGTGTTACCATGGGCAGCATAATGAGCATATGAGAGTCCAACAGTGACTTCACATCACCTATCTTCTCTGCTCAACTTTCCCTCCAAAATCTCTGGAGCAGGTTTCCCAGAAACACAGAGTATTATAACATTCTAAAAGTGTCCAGTATCAGAAGCCTTAGAAATAGTACTTAACGGGATCGTCACTTATCAGGCTTACAGGTGACCCAGTTGAATGCGGCATTCTCCATACATTGAAAACAGGATGTTTCTCGTGCCTCTTCCTTTCATCTTTTTTTTGAATGTTGAAAAGCCAGGAAGGTTTTTTTGTCCTCTGTCGGAAATGTCAGTAAGTGGAGCGGAGGAGAACAGGTGCTATATAGCGCTGAGCCCATGTCATGCGTAGTGACCTCTCACGCTGGCTGGATCCAGATGTTTCAGAAGGGCTTCCTGAGAGAGCACCAGCTGTCCCTCATCACCCCAGAGACATGAGAGGCCGAGATGTGCTAACTGGTGTGGAAACGTCTGACCCACGGTGTCATCCACACAGAAATAAACATCTCATATTTTGTGCTGTGCACTGCAGGCAGCTCTGATTGATGGCATACCTCAGGTGTACATTTAGAGTTAGCTATGTCACATCATGCAATGCTTTGATTGAGGTTTACTGGTCCTTCAATAAGAAGTTGATAACTTAAAAAATAAAAAAGGAGCCTTTTCAGGTTCCTGCAGGTTTTTATGTACTTATTCACACTAAAAGAGGCCTCTGATCTACTCTACGGGAGGATAGCGTGAGCCCAGCCAGTTACAAAGCATGACTACACTGATTAGTAAAGTATAGTAAAGAAAAACACCTGCTGCAAATACATCTGTGCATTTTAATCTATGGAGATCTAAGTTTGTGGTCATCGAATGTCAATTTTAGGATTTATTTTACCCACTTATAGAGCCAATATTTGTCTACAGTGATGGGAGACCGGTGATATCACTGAGAATGTAGCCTATCCATTCACTAGAGACCGGTGACATCACTGAGAATTTAAAATATCCATTCACTAGAGACCTGTGACATCACTGAGAATGTAGCCTATCCATTCACTAGAGACCTGTGACATCACTGAGAATGTATCCTATCCATTCACTAGAGACCAGTGACATCACTGACAATGTAGACTATCCATTCACTAGAGACCGGTGACATCACTGAGAATGTAGACTATCCATTCACTAGAGACCTGTGACATCACTGAGAATGTTGACTATCCATTCACTAGAGACCAGTGACATCACTGAGAATGTTGACTATCCATTAACTAGAGACCTGTGACATCACTGAGAATGTATCCTATCCATTCACTAGAGACCTGTGACATCACTGAGAATGTGGACTATCCATTCACTAGAGACCAGTGACATCACTGACAATGTAGACTATCCATTCACTAGAGACCGGTGACATCACTGAGAATGCAGCCTATCCATTCACTAGAGACCAGTGACATCACTGAGAATGTATCCTATCCATTCACTAGAGACCGGTGACATCACTGAGAATGTAAAATATCCATTCACTAGAGACAGGTGACATCACTGAGAATGTAGACTATCCATTCACTAGAGACCGGTGACATCACTGAGAATGTAGACTATCCATTCACTAGAGACCGGTGACATCACTGAGAATGCAGCCTATCCATTTAGTACATACCAGTGACACTAAACTCAGGAGTTAAATCTTAAAAATACATTCAAGTACCCTAGCCATTAACAGAAATGTATCTTATTTATGCATCACTCGGCTGTAGATCCTCAAATCATCTCTGAATTGGTGCTGACACTGTCGGCTACTTTTTATGTGTGTTGTAGTCATCAAGGTGTCATCAACGTTTTTCTGATAAGGTGTGGAATTCAAATGAAGTCCATTTGGTATTAGGTACCTTTGTGTGCCAAGTCAACATTTCCTGCACCTTTCCTGGACTACCAATATCCTGAACCACAGACATAAGGATTAATCCACAGACATGAGGTTTACGCTTAATTCTGACCGTACCATGTCCGTTTTGCATCAATTTTCTAGTCCCTCAGCTGTTCAGTGTTGTGATCCCTTACCCACCATGGGTTAATGTTCTTATTCTTAGCTGACAGGATGGGAACCAGCATGGTTATCCCTTGCTGAAGTTAGCCTTCTTCAAAGTACAACATCCTTAATGCTTCAGTTACCTGCTGTTAAAGCTCATTTGAACTTTCAGTTTACATTCGCTAATACATTCCAGGTGCATCAAAAACAAAAGGGCGAAGAAGTCCTGTAGTTTATTTTTTTTAGAAAGCAGTCGCAGCCAGAGTACAAAAGCCAGCCCCCTGCCAGCATGTTGCCCTGCTCTCTGTGTAGAAGCAATGGCCTTTCCGCAGAGATCCTACATGCCCACCAGTGAGTCAAACCTATAACTCTGCAAAAATAGCTAAGCTTACACTCTCTTCCGGTTGTACAGATCTAGTCCTGGCTTAACAGGGAGTATGTTGGATGTCTGTAGGAGTGTAGACTGTTTTTACACAGAGAGAAAGGGTCCTTGTCTGCAGCATGCTGGCAGGGGATAGGCTTTTCTAGTCAGGCTGTAGCTGCTTTCTAAAGAAAACACCTTTTGTTTAGATAAACCTGCAATGTATTCAGATGATTTAAGCTAAATGTTCATTTGGCCTTCAAAAGTGGTTATGTGAGCAGTTGTGGACTTCTTGCCTGCTTGGGCATGTCTGGTCATTCTCTTCTCATCTTTGTCTTAAGAACGATGTTTTCAAACGCAGAACAGCACCACTCTGTGTAAACTCTACAGATGTACAGTCATGGCCAAAAATATTGACACCCTTGCATTTGTCAGATAATGCACCACTTTGCACAGAAAATTGTTGCAATGACAAATGTTTTGGCATTCTCATGTTTATTTCTCTTGTTTGTATTGGTAGGACACAAATTAACAGCTTTTTGACTAAACAAAATGACAGCTTTTTGGTAAAGCCCATCATTCTACTGTTTTCAGAAAAAGAAATGAGGCCTTTAACCCTTTCCTTGCAGAAAATTCAAAAATGGCTTGCCCAGCTGATTTGAAAAATGTTCCGGAGGGCTTGGCAGTGAAAGGGTTAAAGAAAGTCAAACATGGTGGGGGTCACTGATGTATTAGGGTTACTTTGCTGCTTCAGGCTCTGGATGTCTTGACAGTGTGCATGGCATTATAGAATCTGAAGACTGCCAAAGAATTCTGAGGTGCAATGTAGGGCCCAGTGTCAGAAAGCTGGGTCTCAGTCAGGTGTTCATGGATCAATGAACACCTGACGGAGGACAATGACCCAAAGCATACGTCAAAAAGCACCCAGAAATAGTTTCAGACAAAGCGCCGGAGAGTACTGGACTGGCCAGCAATGAGTCCAGATCCAAATCCCATAGAGCGCCTGTGGAGAGATCTCAAAACAGCAGTTGGGAAAAGGAACCTTCCAATCTGAGAGACCCGGAGCAGTTGCCGAAAGAAGAGTGCTCCACAATTCCTGTAGAGAGGTGTAAGAAACTCATTGATGGTTACAGAAAGTGGCTGATTTCAGTTATTTTTTCCAAGGGCTGTGCTGCCAAATATTAATGGAGGGTGCCAATAATTTTGTCCAGTCCATTGTTGGAGTTTTGCGTGGAATGTGTCTTTTTTTTTTTCTCCACTTGTTTGTGACATACCAATACAAACAAAAGAAATAAACATGAGAATGCCAAAACATTTGTAATTGCAACAATTGGAGCATTATCTGACAGAAATGCAGGAGGTGCCAATATTTTTGGCCATGACTGCATGTGAAAATCTCAGGCTGTCAGCGGTTTAATAACCATGCCAGAGTCAAAATCCCTAAGATCATGTATATTTCCCAATGACGGTTTGACTGAACCCCTTGACCTTGTCGGTACACATTATGTATTACAAATCTGCCATATGATTTGTTGCTTGGCTTTTTTCCCGCGCACAAAATTAGAATAGATTTCTCTTCAAAATGTCTTTGCCTTAAAAGATCTCCATTGGGTGACTTTAGGGGTACCCTTTTGTTCTTAATGAGTAACAATGCAATGGGTCAGCCCTACACAACACACTCCAGCGTTCCCGATATACAGACCATGCCGTGCCCCCGCTGGTGTAAACAGGCACCTTACAGACTTTCCAAAAGGTCACCCAGTTGGTTTAGAGGGAATTTCCTAAGTGTGCAAATAACATCCAGCCAAATACAGAACAAGGACAGAACGAAGAAACTGAACAACAGCTCATATGACTCCAACGACGCCTGTCACCTCCTCATAAAACTTAAGTCTAAGAATGTTCTTTCCAATGCAGTCCTCACCCACTGTACATCCCTCACATGACACCAAGATCAACAAAGATTAACATTTTCCATGTATAAAAAGCCATGATCGTCCACTATTAATACCGCTGTCCATCACCAGGCCGCTGTGACATGGTGTGGACCTAAGAGGGGACTTAAATGCTAGGATACATAAACACAATTTCATGTCACTTACTTTTTATAATCCCTTTAAGTGCATCCAGCACAAATGTTATGGATATAAAAAGTGCTATGATTTCCTCTGTGGACCTGAAAACAGAGAAAAAGACACAAAATGAAAAAGTGTATCTATGGTCAAAAACTAATTTAAGATTTTTGGTTTACTTTAGTGATGTTTATCGCACGTTTTATTTTTTTCTGCCATAATTTCCAATGGTTTCCCAATACATTTTCATTCAAACTATTTTTTTTTGTATGTCAAAAAGCCTTACATAATATACCACACTCTAAAACCACATACAAAATAAACCACAATTTTCTGACCTGTCCTTCCTTTTCAAATTGACCTCGGAAAAAAAAGTCACATATGGGTCAGCTTACGTAGAAACCGCTGTGGTATTGAAATGTAGTCCACAGTATGTGGGTACCATTTCAGCCTTTATGTGGGCATGTTCATCACACACTCCCTTTCCCTTTCCTTTCAACAATAGCAATGCATGTGAAGGTTTTAATACCTGAAGTTCAGGAACAGCTAGTAGGAGTTGGTCTCATTTAACTAAACTTGGTTCTGTAATGTTGAAGACGTTTCACCTCTCATTGTAAAGGCTTCCTCAGTTCTTGGACAATCAACATCTTCTTTGACACATATCATGACATCATAAAGTTTGGATTCAGGGGCAACCGTGGTCAGGCTACGGACATTTAAATAGTATATATTCTTATCAAGCAGTAATTGAGGGCTTAAAAAAACCCTCACTGTCCTCTGTAGATGAAGGTAATATGGAGTAACCCATCCTAAATTTTTCTGCACTTTTATTTTCTCTTAGTAGAGAATGCAAGGACTCCTTCCACCCTCCAATATATAGATAGCATTCTAATACAAAAATATAGAGCTGTACTGTATTTGGGTGCCGGCCGAGTAGTTTATGTGTACATTTAGCCATGCTCCGGACAAGCAGAGCTAAATGTACAGTGGGAGCCGCTGCTCGTTTAATACAAGTGATCTAATCAGATCACTTGTATCAAATCGAGCGACGGCAGTGTCCACCCCCCCATCCGCCGTGGTTTTCTCTGGGGGACCTGTTACCACGGCATAGGAGCTCACCATAGAGCCCCTAGAGCAGACGAAGAACGTCCGTTCTTCAACTGCTCTGTGTGATCACCGAGACCGTGGCGCTGTGATCACAACGCCACCTGTATCAGCTGTGACTAACTACAGCTGTTACAGAATCCTACCCTCCCTGCATCCTTTGGTCAGGTGCGCCTTATGGAGCGCAAAATACGGTAAATGCCTTCAATGCTTTGCTTGTACACTTCGAGGATGAATAACTTCACAATGCCTGCAGTTACAAGTTACAAAAGGTCAGTAAAAGTTTGTGTTAAAGTTCCTTTACTGCTTGTAAAGAATATGGAAATCCTTCCCTGCCCGTAGCTAAGCTTACCTTAAGGTGAATGAGCCACATATATCGTTATTAAGCTATGGTCGCTACACTCAAAAGAACAGAGACAGCCCTTTGAATGAGTGATAAAAGATCATAAAAACAACAGAACAAGTCCAGTCAAATGTGATCAGCTACTACTATCAATAATTAGGACTTCATAGGTCTAATAATACAGCAAAAACTTGGATCATGCTACAGTACAACTGACCCCAAGCAAGACACGGAAAAGTTTCTAGGGATAGATCCAGTAATATTAAACAGCTTAGTGGACAGGTCTGTCAAGCCTTGGTAATTCTAATAATTGTATAATAATTATATCAACAACGTGTGAAGAGATTCACCTCTTGAACAGCTTCATCAGTAGGCTACAGTTGAAGAGAGAGTATAAGATGAGGAAGCAGCTGTTCCACAGACCCGTCCAAGCATAGAAAGCCTTAAACTCCAGGTTGTAGTCATCACAGATTCCTCGGATAACTATAAGAAGAGGACAGCAGAGGTTAGACATGGTCCATGATCATATAACAATATATTTAGATTTATTTGATATTCATGTGCATTTCACAGCCGATAAAGGAACACTGGCTGCCTACTACATGCCAAACAAAAAAACAATAGTTCAGTACTACGGATTTTCATCAAATTAGTTGCCAGCTTTCTATATCTAGAGAAGACTTCAGTGGACAGATTTTTCAGTAGTGTGTCTGCATTCCCTCTATAATGAATGTTGGTCCTTAACTATTGCAACTTTGAACATTTGTTGGTTTTACATTAGGGAAAATACATAGGAGTATGACCCCATTTGGTTTTGGAATTGGCCCAGAAGAAAGACAGACCAGGAGTCATTAAAGTCCATCTAAATCCAAACTTGTAATATAATGCAGCTTAGCTGGTCTGCGTTACTGTTGGACTTTACCCCACTTCCTGTTGTGTCACCAGGAGATTATCCCAGGATTTTACAGATGGCACTGCGTATGTGTGAAGGTACCCGAACAATATGATTCAGGCAGTGCTTAGATAGATGAAATATGTATAATCCGCGCTAAATAGATGTGGATACCTTAATTAAATAAATAAATGAATCCCTAATTATCATCTTCTTCTGCCTGTGAATATACTGGTCTGGTGAGTGCGCACCCCAGAGGGGATTTAGACGTGGACACTGCGGTGTGGGATTTTTATCTTTATTGCTAATACGTTGCGGACACTGAAAGTTTAAAGTATTTTGGATTCACAAATCATCTATTTTTGACTCACTTTCAATCAGTGAATTATTTATTTATATATATTTGTACAGTTTTTTGATTCACAAATCATCTATTTTTGGACTCACATCCTATTAACGATTATTTGCATTCATTTTGCTACATATTACTTTGATAAGTTTGAGATTTATATACTTTTTGTATTATTGGTATTTTATATCTGAAATTGTATTTATTTCATGTATTCGTGCACAATTTGAAACTTTTATTCACTGGTTATTATTGATTATTAATATTTATTAAGCCTAATACACCAACACTGAGTTTATTCACTCACTGGTGATCCTGAGCGCTGCACATTCAGTTACATAGTGCTTAGATAGAGTTCTCAGTCACACCAGGCTGTCATTTAACCGCCAGGAACCCCGACATCTGCATATGCTGTTCATCAAGAGGAAAGCAGGTGCATGGGGGGACCAGGGAGCTTCACAAAACAGATCCACCCATTGCAAGCACCTCTGATGTAAGGATTTTAGTGATGCCCTACAAAGAATATACAAGGGCGTTCATACAACCAATAGCCCGGGTCAAAAGGAAGAGGAAGGTGGGGAATGGTGCCGTACAATTAATGTTGCTCATGAATGCCATCTTTCAAGGTGGGACATTCACAAAGATGCCTGGAGAGTGGTTACAGTAGGGGATTACTTTTTAAAAGAAGCTACAAAAATTCCAACTGGAGTTCAGCTTTAAGAACTCTTCGGGGACGTCAATCCAGGAGAACTCTTTATCCTGACAGTCTATCACTGCTCGAATTCTTCAAATACATTCTCTCATTCTGCTATCTCTTCCCATTCCAGTCCTCGCTCTCAGAGTGATTAGATAGAGTGGAGACGCAGCTGGCGCTCTGATCACAAGAGCGGAGTTATAATTAAATGCTCCGCAGACGGAGCAAGCTTCTTCTACATAGACAAATCTATTCGGATTCAGCTCTGCTGCGAGAATTTAACTGCCCGCTATGACAGAATGAAATAAATGACTTTATGCAAAAAGCACTTCTTTTAAAGTAAACCTGTCTTCAGTGAAACAAGTCCCATTGTTCACTTCCTTTTAACAATGCTCATTGATTGGCCGCTATGCTGAGCTTTGTTAATACTTTGAGTTATTGACCTGGAACAAGTATAACGTCAAAAGCCAGGTCACTGACTCGAAGAACTAAAGCGAGAGGGTTGGCGATCAGGCATGGTGATAAAGTGCACCATAAACTACCGTGTTCTACCCCTTCTGCTCTCTGTCTATATCTAAAAAAAAATGTTTTAGCTGGAGAGGAACTTTAAGCCAAGTAACTGAAGTCACAGTAGTTAGACAGATCTCCAAATTACAAAGCCAAAGCCTCTTAACTTTTCTGTTATTGAGGTTGTGCTTGAGGTCTAACAGGGTTATTCACAGAAGGGTGAAGAGTTTGGAGAAGGCAGGAGAAGTGAACCATCTAGGACAACATAGCTGATGTGGAAACATTCTCCAATTCAGCTCACTTTCTAGTTCAGCTATGTTGTCCCTAGATGGTTCACTTCTCCTGACTTCTGCAAACCCTTCACCCTTTTGTGAATAACCCTTTAAATAAAAGCCTACAGTCTGCCATTCAACATACAGGCAAAGACCAGGCCTTCTAGAACAAATGTGCTGTGGACTGATGAATCAAAAATAAAGTTTCTTGGCCATAGTAACAGCAGACATGTTTGGTGCACACTACAAACAGCATTTCAGAAGAGGAACCTCATACAAACTGTGAAGCATAATGGTGGAAAGATTATGATCTGGGATTGCTTTTCTGCTTCAGGGCCTGGGCGGCTTGCAATCATCCAGTCAACAAAGAATCCTGCATTGTATCAAAGAGCGATTGATAAGAATGTGAGGCTATCTGTCCGATAGTTGAAGATAAACCGAAAATTGATCTTAGTACGAAGCACACCACCAAGGAATGGCTCAAATTAAAGAAATAGACAGGTATAGACAGGCCTACTTCAAGCCCTGATTTGAATCCCATTGAAGTGTTATGGGGGAATTTGATAAAGGTAGTTTATAGTATGTAAGAAAACCCACCTGAGGACCTAACTTCTAAAAATTAAGAAAAAAAAATAAAAAAATCAGTCAGCCTTTCTACAGATCGCAATAAAGGACATGGACCTTTCATATACAAGGGCCAAGTGAGCAGGAAGTTGGTTATATGTATACATACCATTAATATATAATGCCAGGGGAGCCGTTGTCAATAACACAACCAGAGGCTGTCCGGAAAAAAGAGAATAAATAACGCCCCCAATACACTGTCCAACAATTGTCTTCTGCACATCTGTAATGAGAGTCAATGTTGTAAATGGCGTTAAGGTCACCTCTTCCTGTATGCACAGAGTATACAAATAAACTGAATTCTTCCAGTGCATGTTGTATCTGTGACAACGAACAATTCACAAATACACATTTTATCATGGAACTGAATTACATTACACATAGCTACTTTAGTTACCCTGCCCTGTAGGTACACTGTGCTACCAACAAACAGGAAAGAAACTTGTAATATAAACAAAGTCCCAGATAGGCGCTACCTGCTGAACAGTGCTTGCTGTACTTACATGCAAAGAATCTACATTTATAGCACAATTGTGTTTCACATTCAGTGCAGGCAGCCACCGGTGACATCACTGTGAACGCCGCCTATCCATTCACTAGAGACCAGGGACATCACTGAGAATGCAGCCTATCCATTTAGTACATACCAGTGACATAATGTTTCTATGAAAGTTAAAGTGACACTAAACTCAGGAGTTAAATCTTAAAAATGCATTCAAGTACCCTAACTAGGGATGCACTGATACCGGTATAGAGTACCGATATATTTTTTTCGGTACTCGCCGATTCCGAATACCGAGTAACGAAAGTCCCATTCAGAGAGCCAGGCGGCGTGTAAAGACTCGCCACCCGGCTTCCCGATTAGCAGGGAAGTCGTCTCCATGCTTCTCGTCACTAGGTGACTAGAAAGCATGGAGCCGGCTTTCTATCAATCTGGTAGCCAGGCGCTGTGTAAAGACGCGATGCCCGGCTTCATGATAGGCCGGGAAGCCGGCTCCATGCTCCCTTGTCATGAGGATACGTGGGAGCATGAAGCTTGCTTCAGTGCCAAACAGGAAGCCGGGCAGCGTGTAATGATGCGCTGCTCGGCTTCCTGAAACTGGAAGTATCGGGCTAGGCATAGGAGCATTTGGGCGAGTACTCGCAGAAATACTCGGCACCAAATACCGATACTATTGGTATTAGTATCGCATCCCTAACCCTAACTATTAATAAAAATGTATCTTATTTGTGCATCACTCAGCTGTAGAACCTCAAATCATCTCTGAATTGGTGCTGACACTGTCCTTCCTTCTGGAGGGGGGCTACTTTTGTTCCCCATGGTCCCTGTGTGTGTTGTAAAGTAGTCACCGCTCCAAGCTCACTCCCGTGATGGGCTACAATCTCATGTTTAGCTTACTAATTTGTAATGAGATTGTAGTCCATCATGGGAGCAAGCTTGGAGCGGTGACTACATTACAACACACACAGGGACCATGGGGAACAAAAGCAGCCACCCTGCAAAAGGAAGGACAGTGTCGGCACCAATTCAGAGATGATTTCAGGATCTGCACCCGAGTGATACACAAAATCTACATTTTTGTTAATAGTTATTGTACTTTAATGTGTTTTTAACATTTACCTCCTGAGTTGTGTTCCTTTAAGTGGTCTCATGAATATTAGAAACAACAATGCAAAGGCTGTGCTTTACTGCATGTGAATAACAAATACTTGTTTAGCTGAAATATTTTTAAATAAACATCTTCTGTCCACCTAATGTACCACTAGGACACCAAGGCTTTGGAATGGGTAATGACAAAGATAATGAGACTGAAACAGATCCATCAAACATTGAACATGACTAATTATAGGAGGCTTGGTGCCGTCCATTTGGCTTCATCATTTTCTCATTGTTTTAATTCAATATGTGATCTAGAGTGATGTCTCAACAAAAAGACACAGCTGACACTTATTACTGCAGGATGTATTCAGGGACATAGCACAATGTTTAATGTATATAATGAGGATCTGTCACGTGTGAGGCATCCTCTTCATCAGTTATTACATTTTCTAGGATGGATTAGTACAAAAAAAAAGAAGTACCATTTCCCATTGTTTAACATCAATGGTTAGCTAAACTCTACCCCAGCAAGAGACTTTATACAGCTTCTCCCCTCATTGGCTGGTACATTGGTCCCCTTTAGCTGCAAGAGGTAATACATGAACTGATGTTAGGCAGAGAAGGAAAGCAAAGTGTTGGCAGTAGCTTAATGTCTGCAGAAGGGACTGATGAAGAACGGATTTCTTAAAAGTGACAGGTCCTCTTTTCAAATAAAAGTATCTGGGAAACCCCATCACTCACAAGCAAGATTTAGAAGCTTGGAGGAAGGTGAAAATGTTTCCAGCTACAACCAACCATTCAATTCTTAGTGCAGGTTAAAATGAAATAATGAATTTTACTGGTTGCTGTGGTCACCATTTCTATTAATTATCACACAGGATTTATAAAGGGCCAAGAGCTGGCGCAGCGCTTTACAATATAAGGAAGACATTACAATTACAATACAATTCAAGACAAGATGGTAAGGGCTTACTGTTCCCCTCGTCTGGATTCATAAATGAGGCCCTTTGATTAAAAGTGGTTAACCAGAGAGACTTCTATGCAATTCTAATAATTCCAATCCCCGAAGGTCTGAGAATTTTGATATCAGGAAGAAATGATATTTCAGCAATGTACAGTGCCCTCTAATGTAGGGTCACATGGCTGGGAATTCAATTCACAAAATAATCATTTCTATAGACTGTAGAAGATAGATATGAGCCATGAATAAAACTGCTTAAATCAGCTCTACAGTACTGGTATACGGTATACTCTAGCAACAGAAGCTATATATCCCAAAGTGTTTGAAGGTTTATACGAACGCAAAAATTAGATCAACTGCTGATACATTTAAAGAACATAATACACATTGGATTTCCCTCACCAGAGGGAGGATACAAAGTAAAAATTGGTCTTTGTTTCTGACCTCTATTTGCTGATCTTGGGAGCTTCCAAACATATAAAATAGATTTTTCAATGCATATTCAATACATGCCACAAACTTGTGTTAACAGATTGCATGAATAGGTTCATTAACACACTCTATGACCAGGTTTGTGGACACCTGACCATTACACATACCATGTATGGCCAAGTGTATGTAGACACGCATCCAAATTATTGCCTTTAGATATTTTCAGGTAATGGTACAGCATACAAAAACATTATAGACAATTGTACACTTGCAGTCATGTGTAAACCATTAAAGGAAGGCTCTTCTCTGTTCCTGCATGACTGTGCCCCTGTATGAAAAGCCAGTTCCATAAAGACATGGTTTAACAAGTTTGGTGGCTTGCAAAGAGCCCTTATATCAACTCTACTGATTGCTATTGGTATGGCAATGGCAAGCCAGGTCTTTTATCTGACCTCACAAATGCTCTTCTGGCTGAAATCTGGTAAAAAGCAGTCACAGAAGTGTGGAGGCTGTTGAAGCCACAATGGTGGGCCAACTCCATAGTAATGCCAATGGTTTAAGAATGGGATTTTCATATATCTGTGATGGTCAGATGTTCATAAACCTTTGGCCATATAAGGTATATCCCAGTTGATTAGCAAAAGGAAAATTGCCAGTGCATGGTGGATTCACCACCAGATCTTAAAGCTGTTTACCCTACATTTTCAGGCAACTGCATCTGAAAGGCAGGCATGATGTGGCCAGAAACCACTTACCGACTGGTTACAAGAATAAGGGAGATGACTAACCTACTGGACAGTGGTTTCCGACCACATCATTGTCTGCCAAGAGTTTCCAGTAAGCTGGTCTTAGTAACAAAATTGTATCCAATCCCGAAAAACTGGTGGTAACCAATAATAAGTTGGCTTTCGTTCTAACCTGAAAAATAAAACTAAAACTTGCCAGTTGCTGTGGACAAGAACCGGTATTCGTTTTTTATTACTTTGTATAAAAAGAATAGCCCTTAATGGCCATAACTCAGAAGCAGGGTAGTCTATGTACCTACAATAATTATATTTGGCATGGACATCTCAAGAAGATGCATTATAATACAGGGATTAAAGTTTGTGCACACCTGACAATCGCACCTACATGAGCTTGTAAGATATTGCAAAACCATGGCCATTTATATGGAGTAGGTCCCCCCTATGAGGCTTCACTTTTCTTAAAAGGCTTTCCACAAACTTATCACACCATGACTTTATGAACTTGGCACAAGAGCACACTCATGCTAATACTGGAAAAGGGCCTTGGCCAAACTGTTGCCAAAAAGATGGAAGTGTGTAATGGTCTAAAATGACTGTAGCATTAACAGTACTCGGCAGTGGAAACAACTTAAGTCAATCTTTTGGAACATACTTTTGTCTGTATAGTAAGTGTGATGGTTAGGTGTACACCAACTTTTGGCTATATAGTGTATCTTGGCTCCTTAAAATTCCTTGTTGGCTCCTATATTGCACAGACTGCCTCCTGGAGTCTATATAAAACAACATCCCTGGTTATAAAGAACGATAAATTGTGACTGATGACGTAAGAACAGGAAAATGAATGATGGATGGTGATGCACATTTTCCCACCAGAATCCCATTCCACCCGTCTGTCCCAGAAAGAAAAGCACTAAGGAATGGAGAGTCCCATTACTCCTTAATGATGGAGGTATGTGCACTGTTGGGGGAAGAAGCAGCAGTGAGACTCACTCAACAACCTCAAGACCCGTGGCCAAGCAAACGCTCGTCTTTCATCTACAGAACCAAATACCACTCCTCTGCTTGCCTGGATTCGGAGACACATTTTTCAAAGCATGGACAAACCTTACAATATGGCCTCGGTGGCTAGGAAACACCTTAAAAAAGACAGCTAGCAAACTCTATAGGAAATTTGAACAATGTTCTCAAATTACTGATGTCAACCTCAACAATGGTGAAGATACACTATCAGCTACCTGGACTAAAGGAGGAGCTGCTCAGAACCCAGGCAAGGAGCCGGCGGTAAGGTTTTCGGGGTTTTTGTAGCAATATTTCGGCCAGAGAGGTCCGCTCAGCCACTTGTCTCCTTGGCGGATAAGTAAGTAGCGCTGCCGCCTTACGCCACTGCGCTGCTACCCACCTGTTATCCTCTTCCAAGTTGATAGTTGCAAAACAAATGATCTTCAAAGAAAATCTTACCAATCACCCCTTTAGTGTTTTCATCATTCAAAGAGCCAAAGGCGATTGTGGGCAGCAGGCATGCAAAGTACAAGAAAATCATAGTTGTGATGTACTTTCCGATGGCCTTGTTATTGCCGAGAATACCTGCCGGGAAGAAGAGATTAATATCGAGTGTGGTTACTGGGTCAAACGGAGATCATTGCTTCTCATGCATTGGAAATATTATTATACAGGATTTATATGGCACCAACAGTCTGCGCAGCGTTTTACAATATAAGGAAGACATTACAATCACAATACAATTCAAGACAAGATGGTAAGGAGGGCCCTGCCCATGAGTGCTTACAATCTAAAGTATGTACTTAAAGCAAATGTGTAAATGCCTTGTTCACACCAAATGCAGAGCAGATCCGGTCAGGTTTCTGCACATGCAGTGCAGTGGGTTGTGCTGCGTTTTGATGCGTTTTTGCCGCGTTTTTGGTTAAAAAAAAAGAAAAATATATATATATTTTTTTAAGTTTAACATGGGCTTTCAGGCACTTGCATGTGTTTTTGATGCGTTTTGCATGCGTTTTTGATGCGTTCCAGAGCAGGTAAAATAGGGCTTGCCGCAGTTTTTTCACCTGCTCTGGATCTGCACGCTGCGATGTGAACTGGAGCTCAAAATACCATAGGAATACATTGGACACAGTTTTGATCCGGTCTGCACCTGCTCTGCTCTGGATCTGCACGCTGCGATGTGAACTGGAGCTCAAAATACCATAGGAATACATTGGACACAGTTTTGATCCGGTCTGCACCTGCTCTGCTCTGGATCTGCACGCTGCGATGTGAACTGGAGCTCAAAATACCATAGGAATACATTGGACACAGTTTTGATCCGGTCTGCACCTGCTCTGCTCTGGATCTGCTCCGCGCTTGGTGTGAACAAGCCCTAAGAGCTAGCACCACATGATGCCTATGTATCTTTCCTTGCCAGAAAAGCCATGTCTATATGCTCTTCTGATTTCAGTTTCACTTGGTTACTAAAGTTTAGACTTCCATGAAAGTTTAGATGTCCATGAGGCCAGGCTCACCCACCTACATTTCCCTTATACAAAATGTGAGGGCTCTTTTAAGTCACATGCATTGGTGAGGAATATTCCTTCAAATCTAAACGTTTGGCCTTAGTAGCCAAGTGAAATCAGGCTTAGAGGGCACCCAGAAGATGCACCTTTGGTGGCGTTTGCTCTTAGGCAAGGTTAACCATGGCTGACAGATTCACTTTAAAGCTTAGGAAACCAGTAATACAGGAAATGTACTATACATGCTTATCATGGCACCACCAATTAATGTAAAGAAAAAATAATTACCCCCTTCTGTGAAAGAAAAATGTATGGTGCCCCACGCCTCTAAATCTGATCCTTAAATAACTGAGCAGTGGATCAACATCAGCATGAAGTGGAGGGGGTTGGTTGCAAATGCAATTTTTCAAGATGTCAAGTACTGGAGAGCTGCTAATACTCGAAAATTGTCAAATACTGGAGAGCTGCCAATACTCCAAAATTGTCAAGTAGTGGAGAGCTGCTAATACTGCAAAATGTCTCATGTATGAACTAGCTGCATCACCCATGTGACACAAGGAATCTATAGATGAATTCTAAAGCCAATCTTCTCCCCCAACCACCAACTCTTGGGTATAATGGTCACAAGCCAGATATCCTACCAGAATGCAACCATTTATCGTTTCTCTGTAGCCACAAAATAAAAGCATTCCATAGGGGATCCTCCTACACTTCCTTATGGTAAAAAGCAGATTTATTTCCAAATGGGCACTATGGATACCACTAAAGCCTGCACTAGCCTAATCGAATAAGATAATAAATAAAACATTTTAGAGCAGATTAACTCACTACTGTATCCCACAAAAGGACATTGGTCAGGGATGACACGGATAAACAAGCAAAGTGCAGCATTTTGGCAGGTCGTGGTTTCCAGGGCGCATCCATCACTTAATGGCAACTGCACTTACTGGGCAAAACAGTGTAAGATTCTGAAAGCTGCTCAGGAAATAAAAGAGCACAGCTCAATGTACCACTTATCTGAGGATTTAAAGGGCTGAGGATCAATGGTGCCATTATCCAGTAAATGGATACAGGTACAGGTAGAAAACTGTGTGCCGGCTTTTTACAGCCATTGTATCTGCATTTACAGCAGCGTGACCCATTTCTTACATACACCGTGCAAGACAATATATAAGAGGACAAGGAAAACTGGGTCAATTCATTATAACCATGGCTTATGATAGCTATATTCACTTGTCTGCCAGACCTGCAGTTAAATGGGTTTGTTATGTTACTAATAGGTTTACCTGTCCTTACACCACCCAAAATGTTTTTTATTTTTTTTAATTGATATTAGCAATGTTTGTTGTTGTGAACCTCATTAAAATACACGGGCAGATACATTTACTCATTCCATATTCAGTTTGATGCGCGGTGACTGTGCTATATTGCTCCTCTCTCACAAGGCCAGTCTATCAATCTGCTCAGACTAACTTAAAACTTAAGTCTATTTTTATGGGTGATTATGATCTCACCAGTACTCATGGTGATCGCTTTCTTTGACATGCAGAGAAAGAGAGAATCTGCAAATCTTTATATGAAATCTAATATGAAAATTGATCATGTAAATTCAGTAGCACATAGGTAATGCTGCACAATGGCTGTTCTCTATAACTCCCCCCTCACTCAAACTGACTACATACCATACACTCTCTAGCTGGTTTATCCTGTCATCTCCGCATTCAAGTCCGTTCGGGTGCCAACTGCACAGCCCAACATACAGAATGGCATGGCAGGAGAACTTGAAGGTGATCCAGTAGTAATATGTGCAGTGCAGTGCAGTAATACGGATGGTGCAGTGCAAAACCTCAAGAATTCAAAGATAGGTCACCAGCACTCAAAAAACGTTGAGTGCTGGGTGACCTATCTTCCACCTTCTGACCCTAGATAGTCACAAGCTTTTTCCAGATCAACAATCGAAGGAAGGAGAAGGATGACAGGTGTGGGGCACCCAAAAGGGCAGACGAGCAACGAGCGTAGGGTAAAAATGTCACACAGATGGCAATGTACAGAAGAGGGATCTTACCGTCAGTAAAGTCCAAAGGGTAGACTGGAAGCCTACGTGTAATGTCATCGAATATTCCCTTTCCCACATTGAAGAACTCTTGCAGCTGTGGGGAGGAAGGAAATGGCAGGATTAGAGTCAAGATGTCACTGGACCAATGAGCACAGACACTGATGGCGGTAAAATGACAGTGAAGCCTTGTCAGCGCTGCAAATGTGCCGATATGACAGCAGACACACAGGTAAAGCCAACAGTCACTGCATTGAGGATACATCCCGAGCTGGCCGTCTCTGATCAGCAACAGGTCTGGGTGATTATTAGCGGTATGTGCAATCCCAGCTGCAAGTCACTGCTGTATAAACATAACTGCCATCCTACACTATATACCAAATGATGACTTATTCTCCACTGGCATGTAGACTTTTCCATCTTTGCAGGCTGAGCCTGGAGTTGGGCTATGGAGATGAACTTTAGGGCAGACAAAAAGACCCTCAGTGGATCCAGTTTTGCATTAAAGCCCAATTGAATCCTCAGTTTAAATCCGCTGAATACATTCCAAGTGCATCAAAACAAAATGATGAATTAATGTCTTGAACAAAAGCGCATAATTAAAAATAAATAAATAAAATATTTGGTGTTCCAACCCTTTGCCTTTAAAACAGCAATTCTCTCACTTACAATTGAACACAGTTGAGGATTTTGCAGGCATATGGTCCAGTACATGATGAAGCAAATATACCATTAGGTGCCAATTAGAGATGAGACTGGGCTTGGTGCAAACTCCGTTCTCATGAGTTAGCCCAAGCTCACTGAAGATTCTGACCAATACACCCTCCTTCAGACCCAATCAGTGGTGGCAGTTGTGGTGGGGATATACACTGAGTGGCCAGATTATTATGACCACCTGACGTTTGTAGGCAAATTAGCTATAATTAGGCGCTGAAGTTGCTAGAGGGCTAGACCATTATAAATAGGGAAGCAGGTTGTTTACCACGACAGTAGAAGTGATTTGTTTATGAAGATACGGGGAAACAACGCGATTTAACAGCCTTTGAACGTGGGATGATTGTTGGCCCTCGGAGCCATGGAGCGAGTATCAGCAAAACAGCAGAATTTGTTAAATGTTCAAGAGCAGCTGTTGTTAAAGTGTTTAAAGACTGGACAGTCAGCCGAAAATCTGGGTCTGAACGTGCGGATTGTGGCCGTCAGCGACTAGTCAATGTTAGGGCAGAACGGAGAGTGGCAAGACTGGTACAAGACAACAGAAGGGCAACAGTGTAGTGTCAGATTCCTCGCATCACCTTTCAACATCTCGTGGAGTCACGAGGCGGCCCAATGAAGTCATCTCGTGGAGTTATCTCGTGGCCCAACGAAGTACTGATGGAGTGGTCATAATAATCTGGCCACTCAGTGTATAGCTGCAGAGTGGGAAATGTGCCACACCGCAACAGATGGGGTCAGGAGGAAGGGGGTGGTGGTCAGCGTTTTGAGCGGGCTTGGGTGAACTTAGGTGAATGGAGTTTGCATCAAGCCTAGTCTCATCACTAGTGCTAATGGTCAACAAGATAACATGTACATCAGCTGTGTATGAGGAATGAAACTGAGTGAGGATAAGCAATGCTCTACTAACATGTTGAGGTTGCTGAAGAAAGTTCAATGTAAGAAAAAAAACAAAAAAACGTGCATAATGGCAAGACTGAGCATAACAATGTGAACAAGGTGGTCTTACTACATCACCAAGGTCTCTCACTGGCAGAAATTGTTAAGAATAACAGGTTTTTTCCAGATGTATTGTCCAAGATCTTCTGCAGGAGCACTAAGAAACAGGCAATGCCAAGGACCAAAAACATAGTGGTTAGCCAAGGAAACGTGGCTTGAAAGACAAATAATGCCGACTTCCCTTCGCAACCATAAGATGTCCAGTAGCACTATCATCTCAGACTTGGCAGAAATCAGTGGGACGCTGGTACCCCCATCTACAGTCAGAAGAAGTCTAGGCAGAACTGTTCTTCGTGAAAGACTTGTGGCTAAAATTCTATACCTCCGACATGAAAACAAGGCCAATGGAGTCACCTATGAACGTAAACTCAAGAGCTAGTGCGCAGAAAAATGGCAGGAGGTGCTACAGACTGATGAGGCCAAATATGAAACATCTGGCTGTAACACAAAGCAGGTCTATGAAACAGTACATGATACAAGAGGAGTAACTGCAGACAACCATGAAACATGGTGGAGGTTCATTGCAGGTTTGCTGCTGAATTTCCTCACATAGTTGGGGATTTGGTCACATTTTCTGGTCTACTCAATGCTGATAAGTAGAGGAAAATATTCATCATGCAATACCATCAGGGATCGGTCCCAAGTTCATCCTGCAGCAGAAGAGCAATCCCAAACATACTGTCAAAGTTACACAGAACTATGTTCAGCAATGAGAAGAGCAAAGAGTTCTGGAAGATATGGTACACCACACATGGGGTAAAACTCTTTCAATCTTTAATGGAAGATATTGTATGACCATCACAGAGCCCTGATATCAACATCACCGACAGTCTAAATCCACAGAAGAACTATGGTTAGTTCTCCTAGATATTTGGAACAACCTACCTGCAGAGTTTCTTAACCACTTCCTGCCAGCCTCACACATATATGCAGTTGCAGGAAGGTGGACTTTAATACCCAGGCACTGCATATATGCTTCCACTGTTCTGGGGGCAAGGAGCACTTATTGCACACTCCCAGCACAGTAACGAGGTGTCACCGACAGCTTCGGGTCACGGTGATTGGGACTTAATCAGGAGCCCATAAGTACTATCCTTGTCGCACTCCTTACCAATTTGTCCCTTGTAGTGGGGGGGTGCTCGCAGTGACTGCGGATGGCGCCGCGAATGTCAGCAAAATTATAGAAATGTCACCAGCACACCAATCCTTTTAGGATAGAAAAAAACGTAATTTATTGAAGTTTTTTTGTCATATGACCAACAAGCGCTTTCGGGACCACACATGGTCCCTTCATCAGGCTTTTTGAAAGTCCCGAAAGCGCTTGTTGGTCATATGACAAAAAAAACTTCAATAAATGAAGCTTTTGCTATCCTAAAAGAACTTGTGCGCTGGTGACATTTCTACAATTGTAATCAGGAGCCCGCCCCCACCTCCTGATTTTTAAATTTTTAGAGGGTCAGTGGCAAGGGATTAACAAAAATAGGAAAAACTATTATTTGCAAGTGTTCCTAGGAATATTGATGCTGTTTCAAAAGCAAAGGGCGGACACGGCAAATATTGATTTCACTTTTTGTTCTGTGTATGCACTTTGTAGGTTGTTAATTGATAAAACTCAAAAAATAATAAAATGACTGGTTTATAAGCATCCTCACCTGAACCTTTTGCACAGTAGCACATATTGGAGTGCGTGCACACACACACTGATAGCATGTTTTCAAGTATACCATGACACATGCAGTATGAAATGATTACATCACATAAAACATCACCATCCGTTGACATTCCTGACAATGATGTCACTAGTTTCTGTACCAGCAAATGTCACAAAGCTGAAGCAGTTAGCGCAATGAAACAGGTAAGAGCTTGGAACAGAACAAGGTGTGTTAAATAGCATTGCACGGCTCGTCCATCACTAGCGCGGAGGGCTGGCTGGTCTGTACAAAACAGGAAGTAGATCTATTCTGTATTATCTAGACTCATCGCTGGAGACTTCCTTCCTACAGCATGGCTCACCAAGTGCAGCAGAATTGGCAGGTTGTAACAAGATTTACAGACGCTTCCCAGGGCTATGAGCTTTCCAATAGCATCTGGCTGTGAATCAGCCATGGATACAAAACATTTCAGGTTCAACAGTAATAAGAGATATTGCTGGAGAACTGCCCATGTTTTATTCAGTGTTAGGGAAACACAAACAGGCTTTTTTAAACCCAATCGCCAAAAATCTCATATAGGCTTTAACATCTCAATGTTATTGACAAAGTCATTTTTCAAATTCTCAAATCAGCAGCTTTCATTAAATACCCATTGATCCTGCCATGAAGATCCTATTTTGGGCACTTCTTGTTATAGGGTGACAGCGCTCTGTCCCCTTATCCCAAATGTGCATCCTGCATTGTCACCCTTTTTGCTGTTGTACTGTATAAAGCCCTTCCATGTGCACCTTGCTTGAAAGCTGGTTATGAGTTGATGAGTGCGTTTGCCATTCGTTTGGCTTGACTGATTTGGTGCAGTGACACACTGGGGGTCTCACCTGCCGTTGTGATGTGCGGGGTCCCTTGTGTGTCCCTGTAGCTTTAAGGAGGTTGGGCTGCCTCCTGGCGAACCTGCACCCAATTTTATCTTTTGCTACATGTGCTCTAAGATGGAGGCTTTCATAGGTTAGAATTAGGAACGCACTACACAGAGGGGCCTTGACGAGGCCGTGAAGCTTTCACAAATTTTGCAGAAGACGTGTATCTAAAACCTCTGTTTTTAACCTTGGCGGTTAGACAGGTTTTTCTTTTTGCATGCTGGCTGGTGAATGTGCTGGGAAACGTTTTGCTGTTGCATTGTCACCCTGTCACATGAGCTTCCAATGGAGACGACATGGCCATCAAGACCCCCCCTCCCCCCCCACCCCGAAAAATAACATGCACCCATCCGTGGAGTGCATGTAAACAGGAAGTGGCTGCAAGAAATCAACAGCACTGGGATGCAAGAAAAGGTTGGAAAAAACCCAAAACATTAAAACAGTATTTCAATACACTTCAGCAAACGGTGTTCTCTGGCTTCAAGACTTTTGGTTCAGTGACCCAGAACAAGAAGGTAGCAAGTGGAGCCAGAACTCCAGAAATCCATGCTTGTTCCGGATTACTGCTTCAAAGTACTGCAGCCAGAACATCAGCATTACAGCCAGCTAATTAGTATTTTAAGAAGTAGATCAGCAGTGAAAGCATCTGTATTTCTCTCACCATTTCCTATAGTGTACAGTTGGAGCCATCTCTCTTTTTTTAGTTTTGGATATTACAAAAAAAAATTGTAAAGCTCATGTTTTTTTTGGTGTATCATTGGCTAGATTTGCCTCAAGTATAAATCAAATTTTAACAAGGCAGAAAGTCCCTTGAAGCTTCTATTGCTGAATGTACCCCAGTATTTCCAATATGGGGCTTTACCAGTATCAGTACCTTGAGGTACGAGCGCTTTCACTTTCAAAGCTTAACAGACCGATACTTTCCTGCCCCCAAAGAACCCACCAGCCAGCCCCCTGTAGCTAGCAAGGATGGCCGCACCACGGTTCTCAGACACAGACCAGCAGACAGAAGAGGGAGTTGTGGCAGACCTGCCTGGGAGGCCCGGTGGTTGGAACCAGTAACAGATCCTCCAGAAGGAGATGCAAAGAACAGAAACAAAAAATAGAACTCACATAAACCAGCTAAATTATAAAATGCATACAGCCAAAAAAAGATATTGCAAAAACATAAATCAAATCATAAAGAAGGCTTTCTGGTTGCTCTTGGCCCATTTGTTGCCATTTTCTATCCCTTCACAGAAGCCAGGGCTTCCAGATCTTGCACTGTGGAGTGCTAAGAAGCTGGAAACAGCTGCACACAATCTGGATAGATGGATTTCGATTCTAGGCTGTCCCTGTGTTATAAAATCAGCAGGGTTATTTTCAGTCCCTTTTTTACGGTTTATGATCACAAAAAGTTCACTAAGTCCTAGATTCCCGCACACATATTGTTCTTACATTTTATCACAAAATGTGGGGGTCCTGTTTAAATTCTGCACCCAATATAAGCTTGCTATGCATGATAAAGGGGTGTAGGGTAGTGGTTCTCAACCATATACATGATGGGGGTGATGAGAGGTTCAGAGAGTACATCTACTTCTTATAGAATGTCTGCATTTAGAGCAGTCGCTCTCATCCGAGGTTCCATGGAACCCTAGGAGTTCTTCCAGAGGTTCCATGAGCTGTGGTCAATTGACCTACCACCTCATGGTGCCTGCATAGGTCCGTGTCCATACCCTGGCAGAGGCAGCAGCATGACACTAATGATCCCTTTAGCGATCTGTAAGGTTGGCATTCTGACTACCACTGTAGGGAGCATTCTTCCCACTGACCACCAATGCAAGGGCCAAATCTTCCCACTGCCCCCCTTCTCCCATTAATTATCTTTACTAGGGGTTCACTGATCATTTTAAGGGCTCCTTTGGGGACTGGATGGTTTCAAAGTTTTAGCCAACATGAAATAGTATATATCAATAACCATTTTTATGTAAAGCATTCACCCCCAAAAAAAAATATTTCAGATTTTGGTAGTTGATGGAAAGTTAAACCAACTGCCCATCTGTGATAATGTTCATAGATTAACAAGACATTAGTGCTTGAGTTTTTAGTCCTGTACACATGCTGTGCCCATCTTGAGGGGATCCCAGTTGGAATTTTAGCTAATTTTATATCATACAACACAAGCAACAGGTAATGCTGGAACACACAATGATAAGTGGGAACACCCAACACCTCTAAGTGGACAGGGGCAAAGTCAGGAATTATGGCAGGGGGGTCTCACTGATGGAAGGATCCATGACATAAAAAGACAGCCCAGGTTTCACCAATAACAAATGTCACCTTTGGTTGAACTGGCCAATTAAACTGAATGGAATATAAACCACTAAAGAAATGCATGTTTAAGGGGCTTCAGGGGGTACCATGGTGGACCATCCATAGTGAGTCACTGGCTAGGCATTAGACAGATCTCCCTTCCTGTTCCTGTAATGAGTGTCACAGAGGCAGGAAGTGAGGAGAATCTCCGCAGCACGGACAGCAACAGAAGCCCGACAAGTGGTTCCAACGTTTCTCCACTCTAACCAAAAGAAAAAGTTCTATCTAGAAATAACCTTTAATGTGACCAAGCTTGCCGACACTTACCTTTAAGGGTTTGTGGCTGTTGAGTTTGTGGCCATCGTTTAATGCCGAATGCTTGTTCACTACGGTCAAGAGGTGTCTCTGGTGGACTAGTGCCTCTTTGAACTCCTCTTCGGTTTTGGTTTCTAAAAGCTTCTGCCTGAATGCGATGTCCGAAAACATTGTCGCAAACGTCCGGCCAACTTCTGTCGCGGTTTTGGTACTTTTCTGAGCAACAAGAAATCGTATGAAGAAACAATGAGTGACGGAATTACTTTACTGAAGAGATTTCCAATCATTTGGATGGAAAAGAAATTAGACCCTTCAGCCCTTTTATACTGGAAACTTCACAGTTCAGTTTTCCAAACAGCCTTTCTAATGGGGGGCCCCCGTCCAATCCCAGGCTCCATAGCAGCTGTATGGGATACAGCTGCTATGTGCAACTAAAACCTCTGATTTTAATGCATACTGTTGACAGGGCTACTTGTTTGGTTGCAGGCTGGCTGGCAGGTTGAGGCTGGGGAATTTTTGTGTTTTGTACTATGGTTATTATGCCCCTAGTCCAATTCCCTTAGCCGTGTACCTCCGCTTCTCACATAATGTTACATGTGGAGTGACAAGAGTTCCCCTTATTAAACAGGTAATATGGGAACATAACATCCCTAGGAATTTTGGGAAGAAAAGTGATTTGGGGTAAGGAGGTGCAGGGCCACGAGTGGCAGAAGACTAGGCTAAACACTAGAGCAGCCTTATACCATAATACTCTGCACAGGCCTATGGACGCATGTAGTTGTCTGAAACACCCCAGTACATACATGACACTTTGTTTGAACTGAGGATATGGAAATGGTCGATTGTGTCACAGAGGACAAGTATTTTCCTGTCCAGCTATGCAGTGCTGGAGACTGGCCATTTCACCTTGGGTGCTAAAGGACCATAAGTGCTCCCCCACCCTCCTGCTGAAGCACCCAAGGGGGCCACTACTTCTGCTTACCCCTTGACCTGGCCCTGTAGCTATGGCATGCTCAGTAAGACTAGGGTCCACTAACAGGTATTTTAATTCTCCCTACTGCCGTACTGAGACACACAGGGGACCCCAAAAAATTGCATTTTCTTCTGGAATTGTTTTGGGGTTTTATGTGGACATTTTATAAACTGAACATTTCCACTGGGTCTTCCTGGGTACTAGTATTACCATTGTGAATGTGGGGGGAAAAAATGATAATACATATACAGTCTAGACACCCCACCAAACACACTCACCATTTTAGGAGGAGCCAGAACGAGGATGACAAACCGCACTTCGCAGGAATTTTCCCCCCAGTTCTGCGGCCTCTCCAGCCGGCTGATACAGACATGCCGTCGTTGAAGTGACTTAATAGTGCAACTGTAGAAGAGGCAGAGAATAGGTTAGTGAGTGGACCTGCTACATGGCCAGTTGGCAGCCATTTTGAAAGCTTTGTGTCTCATGTAAAATGCCATTCCCAGAGCACACCAAAAGACAGACTTTGAGTTGTCCGGTGCTCCATAGCACATTAAATGTTAGAGATGCGATATCTGCTGACATCACCCTAAAGAGAACCGGTTATAATGGGCTTATGCAAATTAGAATATTTATTCCTAAATTATAACTATCCCCAGGGCTGGAAAAATCCGCTCATCCTCTTGTCTGTGACGAGAGGACGCTTTAGCCGTGTGAGTAGCTTCCCGGCTGGCCGTTGATATTAAACGGCCATCCCGGAGCTTTACATTCAAGGGATCAGGCATCTACAGAAACGCCTGATCGCTTGTATTAGCTGCAGGGTTTTTTTTCCATTCTATAGTAAAAAAACTAAAAAAAAACAGTGGTGATTATATACCACCAAAAGAAAGCTCTATCTGTCCCCAAAACATGTTAACATGAATTGCAAGGCTGTAGTCCGGTCATGCTGACTGACTGGTGAGATACCCAAAAAAATTTCAAGTCTCCCCCCCAAGGTCTGACAGCTGCTGCCTTGTCTGTCATCATGCTAAAAACATACAGACACCGGGGTATAATCTCATAATAACTAAAACATACAACCAACCTATATAGTACCAAATATAAAACTATGTATAGTGTCCAGGTATGTGCCAATTCATGTATTAGTAAAGGAAGTTTGGTGATTCAGTCATAGGATGTTAGAAGAAACAGAGGGGGCGTCCAATGTCATTGCACATTGTCAATCATACAAATCCTGACACTTCCTCGGGAGCTAAAATGCAGCATTTTTGTGTCTAATAATTTTCAGGTCACCTTTCAATTCTTGGTTGGAGAATATAGTAACCCTTACTGCAGGCCCTTTAATGGGTTCTTCATACCAGCAGACGGGCTCCCGGAGGCACGTGATTGGAACAATGGCCGGGAGCTGTCGTGACAGCACACACCCAGAATAAAACCACAGCACCCGCTGTACAGAACAGCCTAAAAAACAATGAGCCGAGTCACCCCCTGGTGTCTTCTACGTCTTTAATAAATCAGTGGTGGTTTTGTGTGTCCCAGCTCCTCCTGTTAAATTCTCCACAAAAGTAAAATAAATATGAAATCCAGCAGGCAGAGTGGGAGCCCCTCATAACGGACATAGTAGGTGTACAGACCCGGGAACTCAGCCCCGGGATGGTGGAAGCCCCTCATAATGGGCACAGTAGGTGTACAGCCCGGGAACTCAGCACAGAGATGCTGGAAGCCCCTCATAATGGGCACAGTAGGTGTACAGCCCAGGGAACTCAGCACAGGGATGGTGGAAGCCCCTCATAACGGACATAGTAGGTGTACAGTTCTAAATAAATAATTTTTTACAAATCGATAACGATGGTCCGTCCCGATATCTGAAATTAACCCTTGGACAACCTACAAGTAGTAGGCGGCCCGAATCCTTTCCCTTTTTTTGTTTACAGTAGGTGTACAGCCCTGGGAACTCAGCACAGAGATGGTGGGAGCACCTCATAGATGGTTGAAGCCCCTCATAATGGGCACAGTAGGTGTACAGCCCCGTTGAAGGTAGATGTCCCCAATAGTGCACAGAAGGTATGAATTAATCTCAAGGGTCTTAACCTCTCCTTACTTTATCCAAAAAAAAATGTCTGCTTTGATAATATCTGGCACTTATTTTTCCAATGTTTAGTGATCCAATAACATGCGATGATATGACACGAGAGGCCACTTCTAGTACGTGATAAGCACCATCGAAGCTTGAGGAGTTTCCAGAGTTCTCTTCACGTCTGATGCCAGTTATTTCATCCGTGTGACGTCAGTCTATACAAAGAGTGTGTGCACGGCAGATGAAGAGAGAGTCTGAATAGAGGCATTGTTCTGTGCAGGCCTGGACAATTATCCCGTAATCAGATCCATATGAGGGATTTCACTTGTGAATGGTGCCGTGATGGACACTGCGATAGCACTTTGCCAAGTTTATACAATCGGACAATTTGGCAAACGAGCGGAAAGCCCCGAGAGTTTGTACGATTCGACGCGGCAAGTTTATTCCTCCATTATCTATAATCTGTTTGGATCTCCCAGAGAGAAAACATGTTTTTCCACTTCGGGTTTCAGAAAGAAAAAAAAAGTCCATCATAGAACGTCTTCCAGCATTCAGGATGCTGCCATTGTTCCCTTTAAGATTGCTTAATCATTACATTGTGTTGAAGATATACTAGCGTAGGCCTGGCATGTAAGACCTATTTCTACTACAGTGGTAGGCAACCTTATGCCCAGCATACAAGACCTATTTCTACAGCAGGAGTAGGCAACTTTAGGTCCAGCATGCACCACAATGCATGGCAATGCACCTGCTTTACATGCAGTGCAATGCTCTATGTATGCCACCCCATTGCATTGTACAGTAGAGCCCAACTCACCTCAATGCATACACTGTGTTTTGAGGTGCTCTGCATTTTTTTTTTTAAATGGCCATGTACATTTCTTTATGTGTTGTGGCACAGTGGTAGCCCATTAATAATAAATGGGCTGTCTTGATGCACCGCACATTACCGTGTGTGCACTAACACACTGTGATGGAATGCTTTTTTTTTTTTAGATAAACTTGCCATGTTTATCTAAAAAAATAAAATAAATAAATGAATGAATAGGGTAGTAGAATCCACAGGAAATGTATTGGTTTCATGCAGACTGCAATGACATGAATGTAAAACGGCAAGTATGTCAGAACAGTCGGTAATGTCTATAGGTAGCAGTTGGTAAAATACCAGCAGTGTGACGTGTACTAGCCATCAGCACACTCCCATGTGTCATCTGGGTTTGTTATGTGCTCACATTACACCCCACAGGGTCCAGAAAAAGACACAGGGGGGGGCCAAGACAAGACTAGCTGGGAGTGTTGGCAAATTTTGGCTGACTGTTGATATTGGCTCCAATCCGGTTATAATAGCAGAGAGAGGCCGGTGCCAGCTTCCAAAATTTACACCGCACTGCCAAGACAAACACCTAGTCTGCGGGTAGAAAACAATGTGGGAAACACAGTGTACATGATACTCAGTATACTATATAGCAGGGATGGGAACTACAAGTCCCATGAGCCACTGCAAGACTGACAGCCACAGACATGACGGGATTTGTAGTTTCACCAGCGCTATATGGTGACAGCCATGAAAACTGGGTCAGAGAAAATGTTTGATATAACACAAATAAAAGTGTTCCCTTCCTTGTATTGCATTGCATTAAAAGAGGTTTGTTCATATCTGATTTGTTTCTTTCCAGTGCACCGGAGCCTTAAAAGGAGAACTCTGGAGTAAGTGTTTTTCCCCATAGTTCTCCTCAGGGTCACGGGAGGACATAAACTAACGTCCTCCCGTGACCGAAAGCACAGTATATAGCGAGCTACAGCTCGCGGTATACTGAGTCCGCCGCAGACGGGACGGATCCCGACATTTCCCCGATACCAAATACCGGAAGTCCCATTACAGAAGCCAGGCGGCGTGTAATGACTCGCCACCTGGCTTCCCGATTAGCAGGGAAGCCGTCTCCATGCTTCCTCATCACCAGGTGACGAGGGAGCATGAAGCCGGCTTTCTGGCCAATCAGAAAGCCGGGGAGGCATGTAATAACTCACTGTCCGGCATACTGGCCTATTAGGAAGCCAATCAGGAAGCATCACAAGTGACGATGGAGTATGGAGCAGGCTTCCCGGCCAATCAGGAAGCTGGGCAACATGTAATGACTCACTGCCTGGCTTTCTGATACCGGAAGTACTCGTGCTAGGCATCGGAGCATTTGGGCGAGTACGAGTACTTGCCCAAATACTCTGCATCGGCACCGATACGGTATGATTTGCTCTCGCAACTCATGGTGTATTACTTGGCGGGCTCACTATTAGTACAATAGTGACCATATTAGTGACCACTGACACTCAAGCTGAAGAATCGGAAAAAGTAAATATAATAAAATATTGGAGCAAATCCAAATCTTCCATAAGAAATTCTGCATTCTAACAATTTAGGACTGAACATCCAGCGTGAGCCCAGCTGCGACCAGTTTTCTTTAATACCTGTCCGATATGAAAGGATTACTTTAATTTTCTTTTGCATGAGCCCGGAAATGTTTGCGGATTAAAGTCCATCTAAAGCCATTTGTTTCTTTCCTCTGGGACATTTCTAAGGCACGTTGGTATATAAAATGTCTTAAAAGAAATGACATTTGCCTCTTTTGATGGTAATGCACCTGGGAAGTGCTACAGGGACCAATCCAGGGGGCTTTTCCATGGTTTCGCTAAGTTCCTGCATATAGTGCAATGTGTCAATCTAAAGGGCTGTGCGCAGAGCTAAGCATGGCTATACACTGATTGGGCTATCAATGGTGCCATCAAGTAGCCGCAAGGGTGACCAAGCTATAGCAATTGAAATGCAGAAGGAAGACTGTTGTCACCCTAATAAAGGAAATGCCTATCCAATGCTGGTAAGATCAGCTGATATTTACAGGGGGAGGGGTAACTTAGAAAACCAGTTGTTGTTGGCATGGACAGCCTACATCACATATATGACTTTCAGAAGAACTTATGAGCTTCAAATGCAAGCATTATTATACTGGATGTTTTCTGCATTCTGGCATTTTGTGTTCAGATCAATGTATTACGGGCACTTAACCCTTGCAGTGTGGGGGTAGCTCCACTGCAAGGGTGAAGTGACTATTCTAGGGGGCTCAAATAAAGCAGGTTTACTTCAATCCTCAATTCCGCCGGGTGCTATACTGGCCCCAGCAGCCTCTTCTTCCCCGGACTTTGCTGGTCTAAGGACCGACGACGTCATCACGTCTTATACAGGTCTATTGATTTGCATTAGACATGAGGACACAGGCACAGAATCCTTCATTTAAATCTTTTCCTCAATAACCACAAAGGATATAAATCCACTTTGTGTGCACCAAATGGTGCTTACAGGTATGGGGGACCACATATGACATATTCCTGCATCCCCGGCTGGGTGACTGGCAGCCTATCGGAATGAGACTGGAAATTCCCTGGAAGTGGCAGGGAAGTAAGGGAGAGTAAGTGCAGGCACCTTATGATGCTTCCTGTATAGCAGGAATAGGCAACCTTGGCACTCCAGCTGCGGTGAAACTACAAATCCCACAAGGCATTGCAAGATTGATATCCACAGGCATGACTACCAGGGGCAGATTCTGCCTCTAATGTCTTGGTATGCTGATGCCTTAAGAGTTCCCTTCACTGGAACTAAGAGGGCCAAGCCCCACCCCTGAAAAACAACACCCACACCATAATCACCCCTCCCCCAAACTTTACACTTGGCACAATGCAGTCAGGCAAGTACCGTTCTCCTGGAAACCGCCAACCCCAGACACGCCCATCGGATTGCCATACAGAGAAGCGTGATTGGTCACTCCAGAGACGTCTCCACTCCTCTAGAGTCCAGTGGCGGCGTGCTTTACACCACGGCATCCCACGCTTTGCATTGCACTTGGTGATGTAAGGCTTGGATGCAGCTGCTCGGCCATGGAGACCCATTCCATGAAGCTCTCTACGCACTGTTGTTGCTCTCACTGTAGCTATTGATTCTGCAGACAGTTGGCGACTTCTGCGCACTGTGCGCTTCAGCATGCGCTGACCCCGCTCTGTCATTTTACCTACCACTTCCTGGCTGAATTGCTGTTGTTCTCAGTTGCTTCCACTTTGTTATAATACCAATAACAGTCAAATGGCTTTTCTGATCCCCGGACAATTTTTTTATATTGGCGCCCAGTATTTGCAAGGTGTTGGTTTTCCAAATCCAGGAAAAGCGAGACTTCATACATGAAGGGACATGCTGGTCATTGTTTGTGCCGGGGAAAGCTTATCGCTTGACCTGCTCTGCGTTCGCCGACTCGGAGCCGTTTGTCATTGTAATCAGCACAAGATAACGCTTTATAGCTTACGGCACAATGTTACTTTGGAGGAACCCCATCGGGAAAAGCAGGAAGTCGCCCTTTAGTTCCCTTTAAAGTCATTGTATTTTTTTCCGTCCATCTAATACCATTATCTGATGGGTCTATACCGAATTGTTACACAGCAGATAAAAGCTGAAATGAGGCTTGCAATATGAGGCCCCTCTGTTGTTGCACCCACCTTCCTTTTTTTTTTCCTTCACACTTTTAGAACACGTAAATTTTTTGGAGCGGTCTTTGGTCTGGTCACCCTTTAATGTATACTTTTCAAAAGTCATATTGTCTTTTCCATCCCTCTAATACCGTTATCTGATGCATCAGTCTCCTGTGAGTATAGGCTTGATGATGCATCCACAGGGTCTTTTAGACCGGGCTTAAGCAATAATAAAAAAAAAGTAGTAAAGTCTAACCATATACTCACATTATACAGAGCCATGACTGCTGGTACTGAACCCCGGTCGTTGTGGCCGTGACCCCTTGAATTGTATCCGAAAGGAGGTGAACTGTAGAAAGAAAAACACATTTCAATTAAAATTTGTTTGATTATTTTGCGATATCATATTATTCCCTGGCACAGAGAGAGAGCGGGAAGACAGACAAACGTTTCATGACTCGGCAGCGCTTCCATAACACGTAACACTTTTCTGGAGCACGGCGACGGAGGCTCGTACAGTACACGGCGTGATGGGCTGAGGCTGAGCCATGAATGCCGCATTGTACAACATAAACAGGACTTTATTATGTAAGATTTTTGGATGGGGTTCTAATACAGCTATTTCCACTGCTCGTCCAGACCACAAGTTTACGCTCAGCTGCAGCTGGAAGAGGCTGGAAGAGGCCAAGCATCAACTCGGAGGAGACTGAAAATATCCCTGTCCGTAGACGTGATGGATGAAGCCTTCGGTGGCAGGGTGCCTGCGATCCTTAGACCTAAAGTGGAACTCCAACTGCACAATTCAGGAGCAAAAAAAAATATGAGAAACCTTCCATTCCTTTTGGGTATCTATACTTGGTGTAGAATAAGAGAAAATTATGTCACCACTCCAAGTCATCATCCTCTTCCCCTGCCACTGGAACTCTGGGTGCTGGCTAAGGAAACAGGAAGCTGCACACTGATGATGTCAGACTTTGAAAAACTTTATCGAGCCTGGGCAGAACAGCCCCACCTGGGACCATCAGGTAGGACTGTTCTGTGTCATGTCCAGACTCAATAAAGCTCTTTAAGGTTTGATGTGATCTGCACGCGGCTTCCCATTTCCTATGTCATGCTTATGTCACAAAAGCAATTCTATCGTAGGTGACAACTCGCCCGAGATGGTGATGTCAGAGCACTAATCCTGTCGTTGGCGTCAACTCAGGAATGCTCAGAGACAACTCACCTTATGCTATGGAGTTGCTCCTTGTCTGGCTAGACCAATAAAATGTGGCTTCATCGCCAGGGTAGGCAACCTTGGCACTCTAGCTATTGGGCAACTGCAAGTCTCTGGAGGTATTGCAAGCCTATGACAGCCACAGGCAGGACTCCCAGTGGCAAAAGCATGATGGGATTGGAAGTTTTAACATAGTTGTCCAGTTCTAAACTATCCCTGGCCAGTGAGGGAGTTTCATCCTTTAGGGCAGGATCACACCATTTTCTGGACCAGATCTGGGTCTAGAAAATGGTGTGAACCGGTCTGCAGTTCCAGTGTATTCCGGACCAGTATTTTTCTGGTCTGGTCTGGAACAGGCGGTGCTGGTGTTAAGAGGCCAGAAATAGTATTGGGGTACATTAGGATGCATTGTGGGCCTGGAAACAGTCTGGTCTGGAGATGATCTGGATGTGGTGTGAATGGGCCCTTAGGGTTTGGGGCCGCTTCATCAATTGGCCTGTCTGACATCTGCCTAAGAACTGCCAAGACCAAACATATCTTCTCCTATGGTGTCACTGGATCGCTGACCAAACCAGCAAAGTGTCTCTTGGTCACTGGTGGCCGAGATTCTGCAACGTATCAGTCATTAGGAGCAACTTCTGATGCGGATTAGGGATTCTGCCTCCAGTGGCGTGTTGGCAGAATGGCCAGTGAGACATTGCACTTAAAGTAAAAGGTACTTCATACTTGTAAAAATCCCTGATATCAGAGCGAAGCAACATGCAGAAAAAGTGTCCTTGGCAGTAATCTCTTCAGCTGGAGTGCTTAGAAGTACCTCTTCTTCATTACAAACTGTTGAGTACAGGGTTCCCAGACCATCAAATTGCCTACAAGGTTTGATGAGAGGACTACAGAATGTCTGAACATCAGGAACCACAAGTAGGCTTTATAGATCTCAAAGCTTCATCATTCTTACCCCTTGAAGTGCATATTAACACCTACAATGGCATGTGGTTCTCTTGTGGATGAGGTAGAAAGTTCAACATTTAATATTGGATAAAATGTTTGGATTCTCACCACAGTAGACCCCGGCCATTGACATAAACAAGCTGAAGGGCATATACAAACAAAGCACATAATATCCTTGCACTCGAGCGCCTCTCAAATATGATTATAGCAATGGGAAATACTCCAAGTGTTACTTTTGTTGTCAACTAAAGTTGAAGAAATATCAACCAACCATCAGCTTGAACCTGTGAGGTCCTCTGCGTTCACTGCCAACAAAGCAGTTCCCCTGAGCTGCATAGGAACCAATTGTGCACGTCAACATTACAAACAATGAGCTCAGGGCTGGACAAATTCCAGGAGCCAGGTCGCCAAACTTTACACTTGGCACAATGCAGTCAGGCAAGTACCGTTCTCTTGGCAAACCGCCAAACCCAGACATGTCCATCGGATTGCCAGACAGAAGCGTGATTGGTCACTCCAGAGTCAAGTAGCGGCGTGCTTTACACCACTGCATCCGATTGCACTTGGTGATGTAAGGCTTGGATGCAGCTGCTCGGCCATGGAGACTGTGAATATTATTCTCGATATATGCTGAGATTCCATCAACAAGACCCATTCCATGAAGCTCTCTAGGCACTGCTGTTGTGCTAATCTGAAGGCCACATGAAGTTTGGAGGTCTGTAGCTATTGACTCTGCAGACAGTTGGCGACTTCTGAGCACTGTGCGCTTCAGCATGCGCTGACCCCGCTCTGTCATTTTACGTGGCCTACCACTGCGTGGCTGAGTTGCTGTTGTTCCCAGTTGCTTCCACTTTCTTATAATACCACTAACAGGTGACCGTGGAATATTTAGTAGCAAGGAAATGTCACGGATGGACTTATTGCACAGGCGGCAACCTATCACGTCACCACGCTTGAATTCACTGAGCTCCTGAGAGCGACTCATTCTTTCACAAATGTTTGTAGAATTGTCTGCATGCCGAGGTGCGTGATTTTATACACCTGATTTGGAGGGGTGTCCCAATACTTTTGTCAATATAGTGTACATTGCAGGATCACCAAGTTACAGCCAAAAAGACATGGCGTGAGCTGGTGCACTAGAGTAATTGCCTGCATGGAAAACTGAACTACTGAGCAATGTGCGTCGGAGTGCCATTCACAGTGAATGGCACCGAATTACATAGTTACATAGTATTTGAGGCTGAATAAAGACATTAGTCCATCAAGTCCAACCTATTGGGATCTCATTCTAGGAGTACCCGTACCCCTGTATATTGCGGTCCCTTAAGAAATCGTCCAAAAGTTTCTTGAACAATTCCACATTGTTTGCTGAAATCACCGCCTGTGGCAGTGAGTTCCAGACCCTAACTGATCTTACTGTGAAGAACCCCCTTCGCCCCTTGTGCTGGAATTTTTTTTCCACCAATTTTAGGTGGTGGCCTCTAGTTTTTGTAACGGAGTAAATTTTAAATAGTTTATCGCTAATGTTGCTGCCACCATTGAACATTTTGTACATGGAGATCATATCCCCCCTTAATCTCCTCACCTCCAATGTGAACATGTTTAAATTTAGTAGCCTTGTCTCGTAGCTCTGGTCCTCCATACCCCTAATTAGTTTGGTTGCCCTCCGCTGGACTTTTTCCAGCTCAAGGACAAATTGCACCAATGCATTTAACATGCATTGCAGAAAAGGGTCAGTCAGTGACATGCAGCCACTGGTGTCAAGAAGCCCGGGGGCTACATTATGAAGAACAGGAGAGGAGTCATGTAGTCCCATCCTGTTTCTGTTGTCCTAATACAGTACAGGGAATAAGTGTTGTCACTCTAGGACAGGAAGTGTGTTAAAGACAGGATGACCAGGTGATCATAAAAGGGAAAATGGTCTGAAAGGGAAAACTAATGCAGGGCCCCCCCCCCCGGCCTTTGATTTAAAGACCGGCTGCCTTCCTCATCTCCGTTCTTCTCCCCGGAGCCTCTACTGCAAACAGATTCTCGCTCGGGCTGCCAGCGCGGTTATTTTCATTTCTGCCGGGGTATATTTAAAAGACGATAATGACTACAGGCTGTGCCAACCTAAAACGGAGAGAGTGTGCGCACCATGAGTGTGCGCACCATGAGGGCGCCCAGGCCAGGGGCCGCGGTTAGCACAAAATCAAACTGCCCTTGTGTAGTAAGCCGTATGGGCTCGGGTTAATAACAGCCTGACACAGGTCAGAGACACCGAGGGGGATTCGGATGCTGCAGATCCAACTACTCGGCTCATAGACGGCAATACTTAAAGTGAACGACGCTGAAAACCGACTCCATTATCATTGCAATGCTGGCTGCTGATCCCTTGGCTTTAAGGTTTTCTGAATCACTGACCTGGAACAAGCAGGGGTCCCGGGGGGTATTATTTTAGGGCCCGTGACAACAGCCTGGTCACCCTGGCACATGCTCTTTGGAGACTACCAAGTTGGCATGTTCCAACTGCTAGAAAAATGACATGCAGCAGTTGCTTGGAGTGCTTGTAGACTGGAAGTGGCTGCAGGGGCCAGCGGTAATGACATGCACACACCGCAGCCATGTCTGGCTGGGTCAGGAGACCTGAATTTCCTCTGCTGCAGTCCAGTAACACCTACAGGTCTTATCCTTCCCCCAGCCTGAGATAGGGCAGGAAAAGGAGAAGAAGCCGACTGACGGGCTCACCTCTGTGACTCTACTCTCTCCTATCAGCATGCTCCTTGTTAGCACATCAGCTCAACTGACTGGCTTCACCTTCTCCCAGTCTGCGCTCTGGCGCAAAGAGTCTGCAAACAACTGATAACAGGTCTGATTCAAAAATACATTTGATGATGTATAAAATGATGGCAGAGGCTGCATTGATCTGCATATGTTCTACATCTGCATGGAGTTCAGCTTTAAACATTAGTGTAGACATTGCTATTCAGCCTCGGCATCCCCCACCCGCCATATCATAGCCTCTCCGGGGCCACGTGGTGAGCCTCCGATGTCAATAACATTGTTGCCTCGTCACAGTAACTGTAACAGCTGCTTCACCTCGGCGCGGGCTGGAAGGAGTTAGGGCGAAATCTCTGCAGTGAATGAGTCAGCTCACAAATATTCACCGAGAAGGAAAACAAGAGGCTAATTGGTGCGCGCTCCTGCTGAGAGGCAGCCATGCCGAGCACGCCTGGCGCTGCCAGAGGAAACAAGCGTAAACACGGGACTCTCCCTGTTCACTACCGCGCGGGCGCGCGCTCTTCTTACAGGTCATCTCGCAGCACCCCGGGGGGGAGAGACATTTCAACCGGCGATATTGTGCAATCTCTCCGGAGAACAAAAGTGATGAAGGAATTTAATACAGGGCTCCTCCGTCCTGCCGTGGCGAGGAATGGGACCCATGGAGCTCGCAGTGCAATATATATACACAAAATGCAAAAGAGCATTAAAGCAAAAAAGGGAGAAGGTTTGTTAAAGGAGAACTATGAGGTGAGTGATTTCCTCTCATCTTCATAGTTCGAGCCGACGTGTGACAATGAAACTGTCACAGGTCGGCTCTATAGATCGGGAAGTGAGCGAACACATACCGTCGCTTGCTCACTTTCCGATCATCTCCCTGCAGAGAGTCACAACTCCCCGCAGGGATTCCCCCCTTCCCGATCCTCCAGTGCTAACTGGAGGAACGAACAGGGGAGGGGGCGGGCACAGCTGGCTCTGCCTCGAGATCCGTCCCGTCTGCGGCGCTCTCAGTATATAGCGAGCAATAGGGAGCTATATACTGAGCTTTGGGTCACGGGAGGAGGTTCGTATATGTCCTCCCGTGACCCTAAAGAGAACTATGGGATAAAAACACTCACCCCATAGTTCTCTTTTAAAGCAGACCTTTACCCTCATCTTTTAAAAGACAACAAAACACCTTTAGAAATGTTTAGTAAATGACAATCTAACTGCCGGATTTTTATTCCTTGCATACATTATTTTCCTTTTCCTCCCCATTCGCCTCCCAGTGGCCATTTTTACCAAGGGCAGATCAATCCATCTCCCTTTACTTCCTGGAACTCTAGCACATGTGACTAAGACATGTGACCATGCACATCATCCCAGAAAATGCCTTTCCCTGAAATCTCCTGAGATTACAGATGAGATTTCCCAGCAATGCTCTGCTGATGTAACCGTCCCAGGATGCAACGCTTGGGCACATTACACCGCTAATGCCCAAGAGGACCAGGAAGTGGAAAAACAATAATAGTAAGTAAAAGAAAAATAAATGTTCAATACATTAATTTAAGATGATTTTATATTGGCATGCAGAGCTGTATGCCGAGGTGGTTTTTAGTGAAAGGGGGTACAGGTCCACTTTAATGCTCTTCTATTGCAGTTTTTTAAATTAACTTTAATACAGTGACAAAAATCTGAACTCCGGCCTTCCCTTCAGGCTTGCACAGTTGTACCGGCTCCTCTCCTGGACTGAAATGGATTACTCTGATTTCACTGCACACTGTGAGCTTCTCACAATGTGCATTAGAAGCTGCAGCAAGTCAGAGCTCACCTCATTTCCTGGCTAGCACTTTCCTCCCCAGCCTGGCTGTCCTTGGCCCGCCCCTTCCATTCATTGCATTTCAGTTCTTTCAATCACGGAGGCTCAGCGTCACATGCAGGCATTACCTAAGGTGGTCTGCATGCAAAAGCAGCTTGCCTAGGAACGTTTACTTTTTCACACTGACATCCACCCATCAAGGCATTTTGATATTTGCATAACTCCTCCCACAAGCCAGCCCACTGCTTGCATCAGGGCTGAGGGATCTTAAGAGTAGTACTGAGGCAGGGTGCTGTGATGTTATCAGGAAACTATGTACTGAACCCTGTTGGCCCCTCCCACCAGCCATGATCTGCCTGCATTGAATAGAAACGCACAAAGACCCAGTGATGACATTGCTGAGAATAAAATACTGTCATGAAAGATTTGATTCAAAAATGACATTAGCATGTTGATGAGGGGGGAGGGGCGCAACCAGGGAAGGCAAAATAAAAATCAGTTTAAACTTCAGTGTGAAAATTCAAGACAAACACCCAGCAAAACATTGACTCTTCTTCCTGCAGGGACCGGGCTAGCAGCCAGGCCAGGATCGAGTAAGTATTCTTTTTTTACTTGAGCCCCTAGAGAAAAAATTTGCCATTTGCCCTGGCAGAAGCTCCCATGCAGGGGTTAACTTTTTACATTCCTGGAGTTCCTCTAGACAAGTCTAGGTGTTGTAACTAGGGATGCATCAATACTGATACTAGTAATCGGTATCGGTGCCGAGTACTCGTACTTGCCAAAATGCTCCGATGCCTAGCCCGATACTTGAGCTGCCAGTATCAGGAAGCCGGGCAGCGAGTCATTACATGCCCCCCCCCGGCTTTCTGATTGGCCAGAAAACCAGCTTCATGCTCCCTCATCACCTGGTGACGAAATAGCATGGAGATGGCTTCACGGGCAAACAGGAAGCCGGGCGCTGTGTAATGATGCATTACCCGGCTTCGTGATAGGCCAGCTTCTTGATCAATCAGGAAGCCAGGCAACGTGCCATTACACGGCGCCCGGCTACCTGATTGGCCAGAAAGCCGGCTCCATGCTTCCTCGTCACCTGGTGATGAGGGAGCATGGAGACGGCTTCCCTGCTGATTGGGAAGCCGGGTGGCGAGCCTTTACACACCTCCCTGCTTCCCGGCTAATCAGAAAGCCAGGTGGTGAGTCATTACACACCTCCTGGCTTCCCTAATGGGACTTACGGTATCTGTGTTCGGCATCAGCGAGTACCGAAAAAAATAATAATCAGTCCTCGTACTCCATATCGAAAAACCGGTATCGGTGCATTCCCTAGTTGTAATAATTATTTTGTTCTTCGGTCAAGTAGGCTCCCTCCTTCCGTGCAACTTCTCCTGCAAAGCCTACTCTCCAAGTCACTCCCGGCCGGAGTTGCCCACTCGACTCCTCCATGTACAATGTGGGGTTAATAGCCCAGCATTGTATGATATGATGCCAAGGGACCACCCACAGCGTCGGAGAGAAAGGGAGAGTGCCGGAGCGAGAAGTAACTTACGTAATATCTACTCTTTTTGTGCTTCGTAGACCCAACGAGCATGTAACCCTTGTATTGTGGAGGTACGGGATGGGGATGGGGGCACTGCAGAGTGTTTTATTTTTATGTCTTGTGCCGGAAGTTGGCCGTTAATCCCTGAATGGACAATTTTTGGTAGCTTGGATTTGCAAAGAACCAAAATCACTACAGGTAGTAAAAAGCTATCATCACAAGGGTAGACAACCTCACCACTGCAGTTATGGGGAACACTACAGGTCCTATTGAGGCACTGCAACACCCTGACCCCCACAGGCATGACAGGATTTGTAGCTCCACCACAGCAGGAGCGCAGAGGTTCCCTACCCCTGATGTATCATCTCAAATAATAAACTGATATTTGTCTTTCAATTGGAACCTTATGGAAGGAATCACAGATACAAAAAGGTGTGGGAAGTGTTTGACACTTTACACTTTTAAAATATAGAAGGCATTGCTCAAAATTTCTGGTTCATCACAAGAACGCTTTAATTTGACCCTCCAGTTCAGCTATTACTCCCTTCTGTACGATTCCTCCAGTGACCTTGTGTTGTTGGCCACCACTGGCTGAACTTTTTGTGGCTCAGTTGGCCATACACTGCTCAAGTATAAGCCAAAATATAAATCAAGTGTTGCTGACTCTGCAAAATCTGAGCATTGTTGGACCTCTTCAGGCTTTTTCAATCAAAGGAGGCGGTCCAAAATTTTTTGGGGTATTCTGCAATACAATAAGTCCATCAGGGGCATTCCCCCACCCACACTATTCAGCGGGCCTGAACCCCAAAAGACATGCAATGTATGACTAGCTTTAATTGATATCATTGTGTCCAATTGTATCCTACATGTTGCACTCATTTCCCCCTTCTTCTTCCGATACATCATCTCATGTGTTGTACATTTTTTTATCGGATTACAGAACTTCTACTGTCAAGTTTGATGGAAAACCAATGAATAACAATTTTTGGGATCAGGAATCTCATATGTGGAGGTTGGCCATAGAGGTCTATGGCATAATGACATGGATCACAATAGAGAGCGGAGCAAGTACAGACATTCACTCACCGTTGCCTTCCCTGGGGGCCTCGGCGTCGGTGAATAAAGTGCTCATGATTTTATTAAAGTTACAGGTGGGCTCGGCGTTCTCCGGGTCTTCCACAAAGTGCTTGAGCATCTCCCGCAGGACGTCGTCCAGAGAGGTCGCCGTCTCATCCAAGATGATGCTGGCTTTAGCAAGGAATCCATCCAGGTCCCGGTGGGCTCTCACCTCCTCCTCAAAGTTCTTTAATTTTAGGTACTGCGGATGGCAAAACAAGAGCAGAATCTATTATTAACCTCGCCATGCTATAGTTGTTATTGCATTTCAAGAGCTTGAACTGAACCGTGGCCAGACTATGGACAATCAACTATTTATATATTACTAAAGTGTATCTGAACCCAAATAAAGTCCTTAGATGTGATGGCTGCATTAGTTTGGTTTTTTTTCAGGCTGAACTTTAGAAAAAAGCAGGCCCCACCTACTACAGGCTGCCTGCAGAAAACTACAGGAGGGGGCGGAGACAAGACCAACAACCCTGCACAAGGAGAAAGAGCAGCAGTGACTGGTCTTTATTACAGGAAGGGGCGGAGACACGACCAGTCACCCTGCACAAGCAGAGAGATCAGCAGTGAGATGTCTTTGGGGCGGAGACACGACCAGTCACCCTGCACAAGCAGAGAGAGCAGCAGTGAGATGTCTTTATTACAGGAAGGGGCGGAGACACGACCAGTCACCCTGCACAAGCAGAGAGAGCAGCAGGGACTGGTCTTTATTACAGGAAGGGGCGGAGACACGACCAGTCACCCTGCACAAGCAGAGAGAGCAGCAGTGAGGGGTCTTTATTACAGGAAGCTTCAAGTCTCACACTGGATTGCTGCAAAGATCTGGAAGAAGCTCACCGAGATTCCAGAAGAATACACATGATTCTTGTAGGGGGGCATTATTTACTAATCCCGGAGTTCAGCTTTCAGGCGTTTAGCCTTTCCTTATGACAGGAGCCATGATTGTCACACAGGCTGGACTTCACAAATTACCTGCATTTATTCCTCACGATGGGGGAGTAACGGGACTTGTAGTTTGCACATTAAAAGATAATAATGTTTGTGCTTTGTCAGCTCACAGGAAGTAATGAGGACACTTCTGGCAGGATCACCAAGTATTATCTGTATTTACTGAAAAGTGAAAACTAATACAACCCCCCCATAGAAGGACCCGTGTGCAGCAGTATTAGACTTATATTTTGGGGTTTGGATGCACCTTGAAATGACACTGTTGTTGTTGTTTGCATGTGTCAGGTACACTTTGGTCTCTGCAATGTGAATAGCAGTCAGTCCGCAGGAGGAGGCCTCCAGTAACAATGACAAGTATTTATAGAAGAACGCTGAGAGACGCCGCGGGTCGGGTTGTTGTGAAGAAATGGGTTTAATTTAGCTGAATTCCACATTGGGAAGGTCATGTCTGGAGGACACAATGACTGCACAGCGCAAACAATGCCGGCAATAAAACACATCCAATACAGAGCCATCATCATCCTCTGCCGGGGGAACAATGACCACAGAGTCCAAACAAAGTCCACCGCACATGGGACAATGTGTCATTCAACACATGTAATGATCTGATGGAACAATCTCA